TGGGATAAGAACGTCAGGCACATCGGCCATCCGCTCTAGGGGAAACACGGTGGTGTAGCGTGTGTGTGAACGACAAGCACTAGAAAGTAGCACTCACGACGCGGCCCATGGACGGGGGCAGGGCCCCAGACGTCCATGTGCAGGGTCTGCAACGGTGCGACGGTGGGGGGGAACGAGGAGTGAGGGGCATGGTGGAGCCGGACCTTCACATAGAACATGCATGGCGGCGCTGGGGAGGAGGGTAGCGCAGGAAATGACTCAGGAGGTCTGGCGCCAGGCCGAAGCGGAGACGAAACAGGTCGTCTAGATGACTGAAACAACGAGTGGGGGTATTGCCGATCTTACCGCACAAGTCCGCAACGAGGACCGGTCTGGAGCTAGTACTGGCAGCGCCCGTCACTCGGACCACCACCCAACGTCACGCTGCGCGCACGACCATTGCGACCACCTCCACCACCAGCGCCAGGCCACCCGGGCGGGAGACGACCGACCCACCGCTGTTGCTGCTGCTGCTGCTGGTGGTGGTCCAGCTGTGGCGCCTGCTGCTGCTGCTGCTGCTGGGGCTGGTGCTCCGAGGCACCAGCCCCAGCCCCCTCGTCAGTACTACCAGCTGGCGAACCACCTCCACCGCCGCCTCTGCTACCTCCGTTGCGCCCAGCCTTGGGGCGGCGACCCTTACGCGGACGAAATTGTGCTGCGGCAGCCACGGCGACTGTCTCCGCAGCAGGGGTTGTCTCACTGATAGCAGCAGAACCGTCAGAGTACAGTGACGGAACAATCTGTCCACATGTTGGCCATTACCTGGACGAAATCAGAGCCCATGAGAAAATGATCAGGTTTTTTATTTCCTGGTTTTAAGGTTCTAGTTGCCACTATTGTAGGCTTGTATGACAAATGGCATCTTGTCCAAAAAACACACTAGAACAGAAAATAGCACAAGGAGGATCACAAGTGGTACACTCGGACAGAATGTTCCCGAGATGAGCGACATTTGAAATTATCGACATCGATATCGGGTCCATCTGCCCTTAGCCCTACATCCTGCTCTGATCCTCCAAGGCAGACTGTCTATAAGAGCCTTGCACACGCCAGCCCCAATGCTGTCCGATGCCTCGTGCACCTGCCCCCAAGTTTGCAGCATGCCTGTGGTGGTTGGTCATGCTTGGCGAGCTGCTCGATGAGATTGGAGTCGGGGAAGGAATAGGGTCATTGTAGGACCGCAAAATCTTGCTTTGCTAACCACTCCTGAGCGATCTTGCACTTGGGTTTGGGGTCGTACAGTGTACTGGAACGTCATGCCAGAGATGATCAAATCATAGAAATCAAGAGTTTGAGCCACCTCGTCCTGCAATATGCTGTGATATAGTTGGCCATCAATCTTGCACATGTAACTAGGCACATCAAACATTATACAGACTCAAACCATAACTGGCCCGCCCCCATGCTTCACAGTCTACTTCACCTTATGCCCCTAGAGAGCAGCGCCTTCATGAATCAATGCGTGGGTGTGGCCATCCGAGCAATATCGAGTGATCTGAGTCTCGTTCGACCTGATCACCCGCTTCCAGTCGCCCAGAGTCCAGTCTAGGTGGGCTCTGTCGAAATTCCGTATAGTCGCGGATGTTGTGCGCCAATAGTTGAGGCTTGCGCAATAGCTGTACAGCGACTAACTCAGCCACCTCGAGGGCATTTCGTACAGTGTGAGGGTGGACCTTAACAACGTGATTCGATTCCAATGGTTATGCAGCCTCAATGCTCGTCAACGCGGCGCCTAACATGATGGTGTGTACAAAAGTGTGCATGTGTCACGCTGAGAGCAGTCGTGGTCGACCTAAAGAGTGGAAAATTGGCCTAGCTGGTAGATGTCTACTGGTGTGACTAGCCTTGAAAGTGTTTTTTTGGTCGATTCTCTGCCCTATTCCTAGCGTTCGTGTGATGTGTCGGAAACTCAGACCCTGGCGACAGAGGCTCATGATCAGGTATCTCTGACGCGAAGCAAGCGGTCGCGTGGTTACTGGAGGATCACGGGGTAAGGGGCATGTGCTAGCGAAAGTCTGAGCGACTTTGCTAACTCGTGCAAAGAATGCTCGACAGAAACAGATCTAGTCTCTACTCGGGTAGTATTTGTCCACATCGAACATCGAGCGTTAAAGCGTGTACTCGCTATCAGCAATTCGATATTGGCTAGAGTTTGTCATATCTGGAGGTGCATAAATTGTTTATGCGTTATGTCCACATGCTCCAAATTGTAAATAATTCATTTATACTTGCCAAAACATTACGAACTTGCTAAACAGTGCCGTTTTGTGGACAGATTGTTCCATCACTGTAAGTGCACTGAGCGGGAGCATAGTCCCGAAAGATAGTGATCGGCACAGTACTGCTAGACTGGGCGATAGAGCGCTGACGAGACTCTATGGCAAACAGGATGTCGACAAAGTCGATAAGGGTGAGGTCAGCGGGGTGGAGACTAAGAAAGTGGTCGCGGGCGGTAGCAAGGCAATCAGGGAGGCGGGTGGCAAGCATGTAGAGGGTAGAGCAGATGGGGGGCTGAAACACACGAAGCTGGGCCTCAGTACAGGCAGCATCCCATGTCGCGTCTAGCGTGCGCAAGTGGGCGGCTAGGTCAGCGACAGTGGGGAAGGACGCGAGATCAGGAAAGAGATTGGGCAGGATCAGGCGACTGACGGAGGCAGAGGGCGGGGTGGAATAGCGCGCGACAACAGCTTCTAGGAACTCCTGCGCAGTCCTGACCAACCTAAAGGGGGGGCGCTCAGACAGGGGGGGGGGCATGACTAATCGCGAGCTGTGCGACAGCGTCACGCGACAACCAGACAGCACGGGCAAGGGCAGCAGCGGCAGCGGACTCACGGTCAGCAGACGTGGGGTCAGCGGGTAGAGCAGCAGGGGGGTCAGGGCAGGGGAGCGTACAGTCGATGTGGACGGCCAGGGAGTGGCCGTCCTGCCGCTGACCAGTGAGGTGACGGCGGAGGTCGACGAGCCACGTGTCGAACTCAACCGGCTGACCCTCTGCGTCAAAGCGCAGCACCAAGTCCGCCATCATGGTCGCTGCAGCAGCAGAAAGGCGGTAGTGGGCTGTACTGAGCAACAGAGTGCGGCGGTAAGCTGTGATGTGCGGTGCGGTGTAGTGCGGTAGACTGCGGTAGAGTGAGGTGCAGTACGGTAGGGTGTGGTGCAGGGCGGTGCAGTATGGTACAGGGCGGTGGAGTGCGGTGGAAAGGGCCGATGAAGCGGGGTGGGAGCCGCAGGGGCAGCTGAGGGACGGGGCCGTGAGGAGGCTGGGCGGCAAGGCCGCGGGGCGGCTGGTCAACAGGGGCCACGTGGCGGGCACGCGACCGGGCCTCGGAGCGGTCAAGAGACAGGGCCGCGTGGCGGCGAGGCGACGGGGCCGGCTAGGCGGCTAGGTGACGGGGCCGGCTAGGCGACGAGGCCGACTAGGCGACGGGGCCGGCTAGGCGACGGGGCCGGCGAGTGACGGGGCCGGCTAAGCGAGGAGGGGTGGGGGCTAGGCAACGGGGCCGGCTGGGCGACGGGGCCAGCTAGGCGACGGGACCGGCTAGGCGACAGGGGCGTCTAGGCGACGGGGCCGGCTAGGCGACGGGGCCGGCTGGGCGACGGGGCCGGCTAGGCGACGGGGCCGACTAGGCAAGGGGGCCGACTAGGCAACGGGGGCCGGCTGGGCGACAGGGCCGGCTAGGCGACGGGGCCGGCTGGGCGACGGGGCCGGATAGGCGACGGGGCCGGGTAGGCGACGGGGCCGGCTGGGCGATGGGGCCGGCTAGGCGACGGGGCCGGCTGGGCGACGGGGCCAGCTGGGCGACGGGGCCGACTAGGCAATGGGGCCGGCTGGGCGACGGGGCCGGCTAGGCGACGGGACCGGCTAGGCGACAGGGCCGGCTGGGCGACGGGGCCGACTAGGCTACGGGGCCGACCAGGCGACGGGGCCAGCTAGGCGCTAGGTGACGGGGGCCACTAGGAGACGGGCGTGCACGGGTGGGAGGGCGACGGGGCGGCTAGGACCTATGGCGGAAGCGCTGGTGGGCGGGGGGAACCTAACCTACTCATGATACCATATCAAAGTTAACGGATAACTAGAACCATGGCATACAAGGGAATATAACCTAGTGGGTTGTACTCTTTAAGGCACAACCCTATGTAGTCTATAAAATATACAATGATATGTTTGACAATTGTACCTGCTTGTACTTGTTGTTCTATACCTGTTTGTCTTGCTACACTTGCTGTCTGGCCTTGTGGCCTCTTGTCTCAGTGGTCAGAATAGTAGTGCTGTCCTGAGTTTTGTTATTACAGTCACCAAATGTGAGACTAGTAGTGTTGACATGGGAGGTACGAGCTGAGGTTGTTTACGTCGCGTTTGCAACTGGGCCACGGCATCCTCAGCTCTCACGCGAGCTGCACCGTTTCGCCAAGGCTGCCGGCCCAATTGCAAAACAATAAAAAACAACGCAGTTGCTCTGGCACAGTGTTCAAAACAAGGGGAAACTCCGGGGCGACCGGAAAATTGGTATAAGCTTTCAATCTATCAGCATAAGATAGAATGATAAGTTCAGACGTGGTCCATACGCATGTATATATATACCCTTAAAACTACTACAGTATTCCAACATTGATCTATCAAAATTTTCCTTGCGGGATGTATTCTAGAAAGATACATGCTTTGAAAATAACTGGCAGTTCGTAGGTGCAGTCAGGTTGAAAGAGTTGTTTTACCACTCATCCCTTCTGTCAGACATCGCCAGTAGCCCCTCGTGTTCCAGAAACGCGACACCTGACTCGTCGTTCTATTGGCCAGGGAACGCCGCTTTGGCGGGAAAAGCGAACCTGTCAGATTTGAAATGCGTTCCCCAGGTTTCAAATCTGACTGGCAGTCATTCACAAGTCAACATTGGTGCTCCCTTGGCTGCATTGGACCAGGCTTAGTAGTTACCGTAGCAGCAGTATGGAGAAGTGGCTAGGTCTCTGGCCAGAATCAGCTCATAGCGTATCTTCCTGCTACCCTGTTTCTGCGCGTATCGCAACTCGTTCTGCTGTCGGTCTCACGTCTATGTCTCACTGGCTAGAAGTCCTGTTAGATCGTCAAGACTCGATGAGAGATCCAGTCGCTCGGGCAAATTTCTAGTTAGAAAGGAATGGCGTACCGACCGTTAGCGTGCAGCTCGAAGCCGGCTTCGTTTTACACGGAGCGATTCACGCACCGAGGAAACCCCACCTTCTCCACCTTCATACAATCCATCTTCGAGTCATCGCAACCGTCGATCCTCTGCAGATTTACGCAATCCAGTCTAGAGCCGTCTCAACCCTCGATCGGAATCCCAACCTTTTGCAGATTCATGCAATCCAGTCTCGAGTCGTTTCAATTGTTTGGGTCGTTTGAGCCGTCGCGAAATTCAGCAGTATGGAATGCAGCGGGACTGCTGAATTCCATGCAGCCCAGCTCGTCACCCTTCATGCAGGGTCGCTGCCTCACGCCGAGGAAACCAAGAGCTAGGCAGATCCAGACGACGACTCGGCGATACCAGGCGACACGTCGGCGGTCTAACCGGGCGACGACTACATGGTTACATTCTTCAGCGCTGTTGGTCCTAGTAGCGTTGGCTCTATGTGTTTTCTGTCAGCCAGTAGGCGCTTCCAGAACGACTTTCCAAAAGCCGCCTGGAGATGGTCAAAATCTGCCAGTCTCACTAAACGTAGCGGACAGGCGTGCACTCTCCGTTCAAACCCTAACGCCGCCTCCCAGTAGAATTCCTCCTCGTCCAGTTTCTCCCCCTGTAGCACCGTCCCCTGTAGATAAATCGGATCCGGACTATGACGAGGACTACTATAACGAATCCGGGCCCGAAGACGTGGTTTGGGTCGGCAACATATCTCCAGGGAGTAAAAGTAGCCCGCTGCCCGACGACAAAATGTTTTTGAAGCGGGACAGGCGGTCAACGACGACTGGGACTTCAGCGACGGGCAGCGATAACGTTATTGCTGCCCGCAGGCTGAAGGTTCTCTACCCCAAGGGGGCTCAGGGGAAGTCGAAGAAGGGGAAGCAGGTGGTGCGGATTTACTTCGAAGTGCGCAAGATCGTGGGAAACGAGACCTGCCGAGATTGCCTCGTGTCGTGCGCGGTGAGTGGTCTCGTCTGCGTCCTAGTAGCTCTATTTGCGGGTTTGATCGAGTTTAATAAAAACGAAGTGCGCAAGATCGTTGGGGAACGAGACGTGCCGAGAATGCCTCGTGTCGTGCGCGGTGAGTAGAGTAGACGCGTCAACACCAGGTCTCGTCTCTATTTTGGAGGTTGGCAGAGACTGCCTCGTGTCGTGCGCGGTAAGTGGTCGTAGTTTGAGTGGCTGAAAATACGCCCGACGAAGGGAAAGCAGGTGGTGCGGATTTACCTCGACGTTGGGAACGAGACCTGCCGCGACTGCCTCGTGACATACGCGGTAAGTAGACTCCTTTACTTTAGGTCTCGTCTCTATCTTGAGGGTTCGCTAGGATCTTGAGTATCGAATATCAGGGCTTCGAATGTGTGTTTCATCACGCCGTATTTTTTTCGTCCTGTAATATTACTCTCTCCCCATAAACCGCCCCTCCCCCTCCCCCCCCACATGCACCTTGCTGGACGCCCTCTGAACCGCAAATCCCGTAATACCCTGCCAGCTGGACCAATGGATGATCCCGTGCGACACGTGGCGAGTGCGGCTCGACGACGTGAAGGATGGTTACCACCGTTTCGACGTCGTCGCACAGGACAGGAGCGGGCAGGCGAGCGGATGGGGCATTCTGGACTTCGTCGTGGGGGCGCCGGGGGGAGTGGAGGCGGGATCAGGTAGGGTTTCCCCCACAGAGGGAACTCGCTTAGGGTCAGATGTCAAGGCTTAAGGCGGAGGATGTTAGGAAAGGCGACACACAGGGCGCTGCAGGGTTGTACCCTTCAAACGATGAGAGCAGCAGGCGAGCGGATGGGCCATCATGGATGGACTTCGTCGTGGGAGCTGGGGGGGGAGGGAAGGCGGAGGGGGGGGGGGGGGGGGGAGGGGAGGAGGGGAAGGCGGGATCAGGTAGGGTGGTGCTAAGAGGGGGCACGCAGGGGGTGGAGATGTAAGGTAGGAGGCGGGAGAGAATGAGATCGGCGGGAAATAGCCTCATGGAAGCACGCTGGACTCTGCTGTGGGGGGGCCGGCGGGAGTGAAAGCGGGGTCAGGTAGGGTGGAGCTAATATGGGCTGGCGAGACAGAAGGGGTGGGGGGGGCAATTTGAGCCTCGTTTTGGGGGCCTTGAGGGGGAGCGGAAGTGGGAGCAGGTAGGGTGGTGCTAGAGAGCAGGCCTGGAAGCCGTGGCAACAATTGAAGCAGGGATGGATGGGGCTGGGCAGGGAAAGATGGTGTGAAGCTGGGTCAGATAGGGTTAGGCAGGGTCAGATAGGGTTAGGCAAGGTCAGATAGGGTTAGGCAGGGTCAGATGGGGTTAGGCAGGGACGGATCGGGCTAGGCAGGGACAGATGGGGTTAGGCAGCGTCAGATGGGGAGAGATAGCGTAAGCAGGGAGAAGACCCAATGAGTGGGATGGCATGAGATTATGCAATTTGCGGAGGGCTGTTAGAACCTGGTCTGGACTGGTGGGAGGGGAAATCCAGGCCACGTAATGTGTGCTCCCCCCCCGTCTTTTTTTTTCAGAGGTCTAGGAAAAGGTGGCCTGGGAAGCCTACACACGCCGTGTCGTGTTCCCCTCCCTCTTCTCCCACCCGTGTGTGCTCCCCCCCTCTTCTCCCGCCCGTGCGTGCTCCCCCCTTCTCACTCCCGTGTGTGCTCCCCCTCTCTTCTCCCGCCCATGTGTGCTTCCCCCCCTCTTCTTCCGCCCATGTGTGCTCCCCCCCTCTTCCCCCCCCCTCGTGCGTCCTCTTCCCCCTCCACTCCCTCCTTTGTTCCACGTGCACACATGCTATTACCCCTGCAACCCCCCGCCCGCTCCCACAAGTGGGTGTCCTCTCTCGCCCCCACCCCTCGCTTCTGCATTTTCTTCCCTCTCCCCACCCTCTCCCACAAGTGTGTGTTCTTCCCTCTCCCCACCCTCTCCCACAAGTGTGTGTTCTTCCCTCTCCCCACCCTCTCCCACAAGTGTGTGTTCTTCCCTCTCCCCACCCTCTCCCACAAGTGTGTGTTCTTCCCTCTCCCCACCCTCTCCCACAAGTGTGTGTTCTTCCCTCTCCCCACCCTCTCCCACAACCCTCCCCGCCCACACCCCCAAACCCACCCCTTCCCGCCCGCCCCCTCGCATCCCACCCCACCCTTTCTCCCTCCCTGTGTGTGCACAGTGGCAGCAGCAGCTCAGCATGACCTTCACTAAGATCACGCAGCAGAGCAACCACTTTAAAGCACATGCTCTCTCCCTAACCCCACGCAGATGTGCCCCCCCCCCCCCCCCCCCCCCCTCTTTATCCTCCCATGCACCTGCAGTGGCAGCGGCACCCATCAAGCCCAATATGACCTTCACTAAGATCACGCAGCAGAGCAACCGCTCGCACGTCACTGTCTATTTCAACCGGCCCTGCCCTGCCTTCCGCTGCAACACGCTCCACTGTTCGGTATAGTCACATCCTTGACGCTCACTATAACTCAGTATAGTCACACCTTCGGCGCTTACTATTGCTCAGGATAGTCACACTCACAAGGCATGAGTCCCCTCCATAAGCACATCCCACTCCTACAATCTTACATTGTGGATAAGACGTTTGGGGGTTCCTCCGTCATCCCTCGCCCTCCTTCCCCCCTATGCCGCACGCACGCCCTTTCCAATCCCCTTCTACCGCTCCCTACGCCTCCTTATGGCGCCTTGGGTTCCGCCCACCCCTCCCCCACCCCTGTCCCCTCCTCTTTTCCTCCCTCCGCCTTCCTCTTTGCAGCAAGTGCGCTGGGGGCTGGAGTATAAGGTTGCCGTTGCTCCCACTGCTCCCTCCCTGTGCCTCGTTTCACGCCTCTCCACTCCTCCATACACCCCTTGCTGTGACCCCCCCTTGCTGTGTCCCCCTTGCTGTGACCCCCAATGCCAGCTGAGAGTGAAGGAGAACGGAACCATTGACTTTGCCACTTTTCAGCAAGTGCGCTGGGGGCTGGAGTACAAGGTGGACGTCGTTCCCACTGCGCTCACGGGGCGGGCTGTCGTGCGCGTCAGAGAGGACGCGTGTGGTAACCGCACGTACGTGCAGCAGGGCAACAACACCGTGATACGCATCAGATACGGTAGGGACGGGATGCACTCTAGTTCTCAACCAGTCCTTTTCATATTAGTCTTATAAGGGGTACATGGACAATCAGAGGTATGCATGCCTGTTAGGCTCCTGGGACAGCCTACCGCTGCCTGGGCCATCCCCCTGCTTCTCCCTGCCCACCTACCCACCCACCTCCCTCCCTGCATTCCTGCACAATTTCATAGTGGCTCTGCTCTCCTGCATGGCCCCTGTCGACCCTCGCCCATTCAATTCAGAACATCGCACCACCAATTCCCCCCTTCTCCCCGTCCACCCCCCTCCCCGTCCACCCCCCTGCGCTTCCCCGCGTCCACGCCCCTCCCTGCAGACCTGCGCAATTTCAAGGTGGCTCTGCTCTCCTCCATGGCCCCTGTCGACATTCGCTCCCTTGAATCGCGCTATGGCGACCAGCTGGCCTCCTGGATTGATGGTGGCAGCAGCAGCGGCGGCGGCAGCAGCAGCAGCAGCAGCGGCAGTAACAGATATGAAGCCCACTTTGCAGACTCCAGCGCCTGTTCCCCTGTGGTTCTTGCAGTGAATAGGAGCACTAGTGTCGGCGGTATTGGTACTAAGGGTGGTGGCATCACCAGTGGAAACAGAGGGGGCAGCATCAAGCTGAGTGCTGGTGGTAGCGGGGTAGGGGTGCTTGGTACGGCCGGCAACATCACAGCTGGCAACAGCAGCAGCAGCATCACCAGCAGCAGCAGCACTCGTGTCATCGTCAACGCCCTGGAAGCCCTGGCCAACAGCACTGACCTGATCCTCGTGCCATCCTGCCACCAGCTCTTTTCCTCCAACCGCCCCTTCGACCTCGTCTTCTACATGGTGCTCTCCACGCGCATCCCCTCCGTCCCCCCGCCCCTTCCCAGTGCGGTTGTGACGTCTGAGTCCGCTGCCAGGGATGTGCAATCGGATGCTGATGCGGACAGGGAGGCGGACGTGCCGCTGGATTTCGAGGCTGCGGGAGGGAGAGGGGGTGGGGGGGTGGGAGGGGTGGGAGGAAACACAGGGGCGGCAGGAGGGGGAGCAGCAGGAGCAGCAGCAGGAGCAGGAGCAGCAGGTGTTGGAACAGGGGGGGTTGGAGGGGGGGCAGGAGGAGCAGGAGGAGCGGGAGGCGTGGGAGTGAGAGGAGGGGTTTCAAGAGCGGCACTGGGCTTTAACGACCCGGGGAAAGCGAGGGGCGCAGGAGGGACAGAGGAAGCTCCTGACGCCACGAGCTCCGCCTCCTCGCTCAAGCAGCGCCTGCTCAACTCCCTCAACGTCACCGGGGGCTACCCGGTGGTGCTGGCGAGGCTGTCAGGCCGGCTGTTCAAGTTCAGGGTGAGTGACCTGGTGGTGAGGCCGATGGTTCGAATCCCATTGTCATCGTGAAGTCACCAGCACATTGCAGTGCTCAGCATCATCGGACATAGTTCCAGTGAGCGCAGTTAGGAAAGCGGTTTAGCAAGTAGGAAAGACAGTTGTAAAAAATGCAATGCTTATGTAACCAAGAGTTTTAGGAAAGCAGGAGCTCTTCTCTTCTCTTTGGCACTGATGAAGGCTCGCTAGGGATTTCCCTACAAGTCGAAACATGTTTGTCCCATGTTAACTTCGCTGTTAAGAGAAGAGCTCCTGCTTTCCTAAAACTCTTGGTTACATAAGCATTGCATTTTTTACAACTGTCTTTCCTACTTGCTAAACCGCTTTCCTAACTGCGCTCACTGGAACTATGTCCGGAGGCATTGCTATGCTCAGCATCAGGTATTGCATGTCCCTCAAGCACCGCCTGCTCCACTCCCTCAATGTCACCGGGGGCTACCCGGTGGTGCTGGCGAGGCTCTTGGGACGCTGTTCAAGTTCATTGTTAGTGACTTGGTGAGGCTGATGGTTCCTATGGTCATCGTAAAGTCAAAAGCACATTGCAGTGCTGTGAGGCATTGCTATGCTCAGCACCAGGCATTGCATGTCGCTCAAGCAGCCCCTGCTCCACTCCCTCAACGTCACCTGGGGCTACCCAGTGGCGCTAGCTAGGCTGTCGGGACGGCTGTTCAAATTCAGAATGAGCTCTTCTGCAGTGCGAGACACCCACTGAAGTGTGTGGCACGTTAGCCCATGCTCTGTCTGTCCTGTCCTTTTCCCTGACTTCCTTCTGGCTTCTGCCATCCCTCTCTGCCTTCCTCTCTATTTTTCAGGTGGCGCCGTCCGTATACCCGGTTATTATCACAGTGGCTGTCAAGCTAGACACCCGGTTATTATCACAGTTGCTGTCAAGCTAGACACCCGGTTATTATCACAGTGGCTGTCAAGCTAGACACTCGGTTATTATCACAGTGGCTGTCAAGCCAGACACCCTCGTTAGTGTCTGCCAAGTCACCTCATGTTCTCCCTTTCCCTCTCCCTCTCCTCAATATCTTGACATCTGCTCTTCTCTCTTCCATTCCCCCTGCATCTGCCGCCCTCCCTGCCGCCTGTCAGGTGGTGCCATTCGTTAACCCCGGTATAATCACGGTGACTGTCAAGCCAGACACCCTCGTTAGTGTGCACGGCAATCTCAACCAGCAGTCCAACACCGCAGCCATCATCTTTGGTAAGTACTGTCTAAAGTATGAATATATATATATATATGTATATGTATATATCCTCGCTACAGCCCACCTCGTTATAGTCTCATCAAGCCAGACACCCTCGTCAGTGTGTACGGCAATCTCAACCAGCGGTCCAACACTGCGGCTATCATCTTTGGTGCGTGTCTCCTAAAGTATGACCCTTGCACCAATATATCCTCGTTATACTCAACCTCGCTATAGATCATTATGGCAGACAGCCTTGTCAGTGTGCATGGCAGCCTCACTCAACCGGCAGTCCAACCCAACTTCACAACTATCATCTTTGGTTTGTTCCTTGTGTTTTATGAATTGGCATACTCGTTACAGTGAACCCCAATGCACCCTCGTACAGCGAGCATGCTATTTTGTCTCAACCAACAACCATGGGCCGTGCAGTCAGGGATTAGCCTCCCTCTCCCTTTGAGTTTCTCCCACCCCCACCTCTGCTCTGCAGGCACCCAGCCCGCCAGCATGCAGCTGTGCCTCATTCAGCACCACGAGGCACCACGAGGCACCACAAGGTACCACGAGGCACCACGAGGCACCACGAGGCACCACGAGGCACACAGCATCAGCCTGGGGTCTGATCCGCTCCCTTCTTACTGTCCTTCCCATTTCCCACTCCCCACCTCTGCAGGCACCTAGCTCGCCAGCATGCAACTGCGCCTCATTCAGCAATCAGCACCACGAAGCATCCGTAGAGTAAGGGCACGGTGTGGAGTCTTACCTTCCCTTCCCTTCCTTTCCGTTCCCTTCCCAACCCACCTTATCCCGTGCTACCGTCCACAGACAGCCAGGCAGCCAGCATGTAGGTGTCGCTCGTCCAGCATCACGAGGCATACAGCAAGGCCTGGGGTCTGATCTTCCCTTGCCTATCTGCTCGCACCTCGCTTCAATCCCTCTTCGCCTTTCTCCCGACCTCCTTGTCTCTGCAGGCACCCAGCCCGCCAGCATGCAGCTGTCGCTCATCCAGCACCACGAGCCATACAGCAAGGGCCTGGGGTCTGGGGTTATACTCTGGCCGCCTCACAGCAACTCCCCTGCTGACCCATCCTCGCTATTAGCATCTCCATCATCGCCACCATCGTCGTCGTTGCTGCCATCAGCATCATCCTACAATCTATCGTACTCACCAGCAGCAGCAGCAGCAGTACCAGTGGCACCCGCAGCAACAGCAGCAACAGCACTGGGGGCAGCAGCACCATCACCAGCAGCAGCATCGTACGATGTGGCGCTCACAGAACTGAACCTTCTGATCAATGCTTCGGCCCCTGTGTCGAGCATCCAGCAAGGGACGATCGTGGTGAATGGGAGCGACGGTGCTACTGTGGAGTGGTGAGTCTTTTTTGGGGTTGGGGGAGAGACGGGGCAGTATGGGGGAGAGACGGGGCAATATGGGGGAGGGACGGTGCAGTATGGGGGAGAGAGGGGGCAGTTTGGGGGAGAGACGGGGCATTATGGGGGAGAGACGGGGCAGTCTGGGGGAGAGACGGGGCAGTATGGGGGAGAGACGGGGCAGTAGGGGATGATATGGGCCACGGGAGGGGGCGTGAAGAGCATTCAGCAAGGCTCCCCTTCCCTCGTCTGGCCCTCCTTCCCTCATCTTGCCCTCCTTCCCTCATCTTGCCCTCCTTCCCTCATCTTGCCCTCCTTCCCTCATCTTGCCCTCCTTCCCTCATCTGGCCCTCCTTCCCTCGTCTGGCCCTCCTTCCCTCATCTGGCCCTCCTTCCCTCGTCTGACCCTCCTTCCCACCGCCTCAACCACCCCACTCTTCCCTCCACCCCCCCCCTCCCCCCCCCCCCGCTCCCAATCCCCCCTGCGCGCTCCCTCCCCCATGGAATCGCAACAGGGTGCAGCGAATCAGCCCAGCAGCCTTCATTGCCCGCATCACCCTGCCCCAGTCACCACCTCCCCCTGTTGCCCTGTCCGTCTCTCTGCTTGCTGGCGCGGCCACCACCCCCTGGGGAACCACCTCCCTGGCTTCCAACACGATCCACATCAACTGTAAGTGGATTGCAACCATGGGATCCAGCATCTGTTGTTGCAGCCACCATGGGAGTTTGAGGGCCCTCAGACGCGGGCCCTCTGGGGAACCACCTCTCGTTCCTCTCTCCCCCCACGCCCTCCCCTCCTCCCCACCCCAACCCCCCTCCCAGATACCCCCCTCCCAGATACCCCCCTCCTCACCACACTCTGCCGCCTTCTCTGTAACTGAGTCGACTCACAAGTCTCTCCCTTCTCGCTCCCCCCCTTCCTCCCCTTCCGCCCCTCCCAGATTCGCCCTCGTCCACGCCCACCATCGTCGCCACCACCATCACCGTCACCACTGTCACTGCTTCCGCGCTCTCGGTGCTCTACTCGCTCTCCTCCTCCGCCCTCACCACCCACGGCCTTCTTCCCAGCATGCACGGGCGCTTACCACTCTCACCTTCCAGGAATCTCCTGGTGAGTGCCGTGTCATCTGGTGAGTGCCGTGTCATCTGGTGAGTGCCGTGTATCAGGTCCCAATCCCCATCTCCCTCTCTCTCTCTCTGCCCTACTCGCTCTCCTCCGCCGCCCTCGCCTCCCACGGCCTTCTTCCCACCATGCACGGGCGCTTGCCTCTTTCACCTTCAAGAAATCTACTGGTAAGTACGGTGCAATAGGCCCCACTCCATCTCTCTCCGTGTTGTCCTCGCTGTGTATGCTCCACTCCCTCTCTTCCCCCGCCCTCACCACCCACGGCCTCCTTCCCAATCCACACGATTGATCGTTTACGTTCAGCCATTTATCTGGGCGAGTTGAATTGGTTTTTGAGAATTCTCAAGAACCGATTCGATCGTTTGCCTTCAGCCATTTAGCTGGGCGAGCTGCAGCTAGGAAGAGACTCTTTGCAGTTTACCCCTCTCGCCCTCCCGCAACCTTCTGGTAAGGGCAGTGTATCAGAACCCACATTCATCCTCCCCCTCCCTGGCTATTCTTTGTCGTCCCCCCCCCTTCTCCCCCACCTATACCATACGCTCCTCCCTCTCCCTCTCCTGTGCTCTATTCCTAATGCCATCCGCTCCTCCCTCTTCCGCCTTCCCTCCTTCCAGCACCTCTTGTCCTCCCTCCAGGTGCTTACCTTCGCTTCCTGCCTGCACATCGGCCGCCCTCTGAACTTCTCCCTTTCATCCCTAATACCGTCTGATCCTCCCCTCTTCCCCCCCCCCACCCTCTCACTGCAGCACATGGTATCAACCCTCCAGGTATTTGCCTTCGCCTTCTGGCTTCAGTGGACCTCCCTCTCACCCTCCCCCACTCTATTCCTGGCACCATCTGCCTTCCCCTCTCCCCCCCCGCCTCCTCTCACTGCAGCACCTGCTGTCATCCCTGCAGGTCTTTGCCTTCGCCTCCTGGCTGAGAGTCGACCTCCCGCTCACCTTCCTGGAAACAGCGCAGCAGCTCTGGTGGGTGCTGCCTCATGGCCCCCTGCCCTGGGTGAATGACGCGCCCGTGTATGGGGGGGGGGAGGAAGTGGGGGGGGAAGGGGGGGCCGAAGGCGGAGCTGGAGGGGTGAAAGCAGGAGAGGCAGGTGGTAACCCTTCCGCCCCTATCTCTCCGCCAGGAGGGGCGGCAGGAACTGCAACTGTAGCAGGGGCAGCAGGGGCAGTAGGGGCAGCAGGGGCAGCAGCAGCATCAGGAGTGCAAGGGGTCGAAGTAGGAGCAGCACCAAGAGCCGGAGGAAAAACGGCTACACCAGCCACAGCAGCTGCTACAGCAAGAGCAGCGGCAGCAGCAAGAGCAGTGGCAGCAGCAAAAGCAGTGGCAGCAGCAAAGGCAGCGGCAGCAGCAAAGGCAGCGGCAGCAGCAAAAGCAGCTGCTATGACCAGAACAGCAGCAGAAGCAGCAGCAGCAAATACTAAAGCAGCAGCCAGGGCTACAGCAGCAGCAGGGGAGTTGCCAGCGCCAAATGAATTTGGCCCGATTGCCGCTGCACCAGAGGCAGTGATGGGAGACGGGGAGAGAGGCGTGGGCGTGAGTGGGGCTGCTGGAGTGGAGAGACAGCTCAGGGAGAGAGGAGGGAGGTTAATGAGGGAGGGAGGCGTGAGTGATATTCTTGAAAAGGAGAGACAGGAGGAGGCTGGGAAGGAGAGTGAGGAGGAGGGTGAGGAGGAGGGAGGGGAGGAGAGAGAGAAGAGTGAGGAGAGTGAGGAGGAGAGTGAGGAGAAAAGTGAGGAGGAGAGTGAGGAGGAGAGTGAGGAGGAGAGTGGAGAGGAGGGTGAGGAGGAGAGTGAGGAGAGAGGGGGGGAGAGGGGGGAGGAGAGGGGGGAGGAGAGGGGGGAGGATGGACGAAAGGAGGTGGTGTGGGAGGAAGGGCGAAGGTGGAGGAGCAGGAAGTGGGGAGTCAAGAGGGCGGGCGGTGACAGATGGAGGAGGAGGACGATGAGGGCGAGAGGGAGGTGGTTGCGAGAGAGGGTGGGCGCATGGGGGGAGAGGGTGGGCGCATGGGGGGAGAGGGTGGGCGCGTGGGGGGAGAGGGTGGGCGCGTGGAGGGAAGGGATGGGAGGAGTGAAACACGCGATTGGAAAGCTCCTGCCGAGGGGGATGGGAGGAGGGGATAGCGGAGAGAGTGAGAAGGAGCAAGTTGGAGAGGGCAGACGGGTGCAGCATGCGAGCAATGACGGTAGCCATGGCGGTGGTAATGGCGGCGGTGATGGTGGTGATGGTGATGGTGATTACGACCCCAGCCACACTGCTGACCCCAGCCGCACAGCTGACCCCAGGCCCTACCCGTCCAGGTCTCTCAAGCGGGAGAAGCTGTCATGGCCCATGCGGCGGCTCCTTGTCTTCTCTGCTGACCCCGCTACCCCAGCAAACCCTTCCAGCCCAGCGAACCCCTCTAGCCCGTACACTGGCCCTAACTCTAACCCTAACCCTAGTGCTGAGTTGAGTGCTGACATTAACAGTAGGAGTAGCAGTGACAGCAGCAGCAGCTATAGCAGTAGCGGTGGCAGCATCAGTGGCAGCATCGGATCTAGCAGCGCTGTTGGTGGCGGTGTCAGTGGCAGAGTCAGCTCGAGCACTGCCGCAGCTGCCACAGCTGCTACAGCTGCCACAGTTGCCACAGCTACCAGAGCTGCTACAGCTGCCACAGCTGCCACAGCTACCAGAGCTGCTACAACTGCCACAGCTGCCACAGCTACCAGAGCTGCTACAACTGCCACATCGGCTACAGCTGCTGCAGCTGCCACAGCTGCCACAGGTGCTAGCAGCGCTACAGAGGCACCTGCAGTTACGGGGAATTATGAATCTGCCGGAACAACCTGGCGCCCAGAGGTGCGTGAATGTGCACAACAGTGTGTTAAACAGTGTGTGAAACAGTGTGTGAAACAGTAACACACAGTTTGCTGGGCCTGCACTATGTGACGGTTCACATTTCCTGCGATTATCCTCGACAAATACTCAATCGGTCCTTGTATTAGATGGTAAAGGGGCAGTGAACTACTCCCACCTTGGCGTTGCTGCTGCAGCCGCCCTTCCCCAACCTTTCGTCCCCCTCTGCCCTGCCCCGTCTGCCCTGCCCCGTCTGCCCTGCCCCGTCTGCCCTGCCCCATCTGCCCTGCCCCGTCTGCCCTGCCCCGTCTGCCCTGCCCCGTCTGCCCTGCCCCGTCTGCCCTGCCCCGTCTGCCCTGCCCTGTCCTCTCCTCGTATCTTCCTTCCCTCTCCAGTCCGAAATGTGGCTCCAGCGAGAGGTGGTGCCAAGGTTGCATTCGAGTCACTTGCCCCACCCTCTCTGACCCACCCCTCTCCGACCCACCCTCTCTGTCTCACTCTGTCTCCTAATCCGCTCTGCCCTGCCCTGTTTGCTTGCCCCACTCTCCCTGCCCTCAGAATTCCCTCTCCAGGCCCAGCTGCTGCTCCAGCAGGAGGTGCTCTCGCAGATGCATTCTAGTCTCACCGTCTCTGTGTATCTTGTCCTGCCATCCCTCTGTGTGTCTTGTCCTGCCATCCCTCTGTGTGTCTTGTCCTGCCATCCCTTCTTCGCACTGCCTTTCCCTCGCTCCAGTCTGAGCTGCTTCTCCAGCAGAAGGTGCTCTCGCAGATGTCGTACCCATCCGCCTCCCATGTCGCGTGAGTGACGCCCTTCCCATGTTGTAGCATGCAGCATCCAGCTACCCCCCATGCCCACATACACACACACCCTCTCACAGATTCAGTACCCATCCGCCTCCCATGTCGCATGAGTGATGCAGTCCTTCTCACATCATGCACACACACCACTTCTTAAAGCCCTGCACACAGACCCCTTCGTCCAACGCTTATTGACTTTCCATTTCCCATCACCACCCGCCCTGACCAAACCCACTCCCGGCGACCGGCCCACTGTCACTCTCCGCGCCGCGCCCCCTCTCTCCCGTCAGTTCTCCCCCTCCTGGTGTTTGAGAATTCTCAAAGCCAACTGAACTCGGTGCAACTTGCCCTACTGTCACTCTACGCCTCTCCCTCCCCCTTCCCCTCAGCATCAGCATCGCCTGTGCCACTCTCTTCTGGGCGGCCTTCTCCTCGCCTCCACTCTCCTCCTCCGCGCCTTGGCCTACCTCCTCCTCTTCCTCTCCTCCCGCGCTGCCATCAAAGCCGCAACTGTTGCAGTGGCGGTGGTAGAAGCTCTAGGAGGAGGGACGGCAGACATACAGTCTAACCTCTTCCTCTCCCCCCCTCTCTCTTCCCACGCACCCCTGTTCCCCCCCCACCTCTCCCTCCCGCCACCTGGTGCAGTGTCAGCATCGCGTGTGGCACTCTCCTCTGGTCCTTCATTCTCCTCGCCTCCACCCTCCTGCTCCACGCCCTCGCCTACCTCCTCCTCTTCCTCTCCTCCCGCACTGCCATCAAAGCTGCTGCTGCATCTGCAGCGGTAGGAGGAGGAGCAGGAGCAGGAGTGGGGAAGTTACCAGCAGGGTGGGAAACCACAGCAGCAGGAGTGGGAGGAGGAGCAGGGTTCATAGGAGGGGGAGGAGGAGCAGGGGGGGAGACGAGGGTGAGGTTGCCGTGGGAGGTGGGCCATCTGCTCAACTGGCCGCGCCCGCTGCTCTTCGTGCTGCTGCTGTGCCTGCCTGCCCTGTGCCACGCGCTCACCCTCCTGTGTGCCGGTGAGTCTTCTAGGCAAGTGCACTGCTCTTCGTGCTTCTGCTGCTGTGCCTGCCTGCCGGCCTGTCTGCCTGCCTGCCAGCCAGCCAGCCTGCCTGCCAGCCTGCCTGCCTGCCTGCCAACCTGCCTGCCTGCCGGCCGGCCGTCTGCCGCACACGCGCTCACAATTCTGTGCTCTGGTGGGCCCGAGCTGCCCCTACCAGATGGCTTCGTTCACCTCTCTGCTATCCCTCCTTGCTTCTAGTCTGACCTTACACCCTCAACCCGTATTTCTCCACCAAACCCCTTTGGATCAATCTGAACCCCTCTGAATCCCTTCTGGTTCCCTGCAGGTTGGGGGGGGCTCCCTTTCATTGCAGTGCGGGTCGTTGCTGCAAAAGTTCTCGTCACGCTCACACCCTGCCCTCCCTCCTTACTGCTTCTTGCCGTTCCCTGCCTGCGCGGGTTGGGTGGGCCTCCCGTTTGTATCGTCGGCATGCCCTTCCTCCTCGCATTCTGCCTCATCCCCTCTCGTGCCCTCCCCCTTCTCCCCCTCTCGTGCCCTCCCCCTTCTCCCCCTCTCGTGCCCTCCCCGTGCCCTCCCCCTTCTCCCCCTCTCGTGCCCTCCCCCGTCGCCCCTCGTCGTGCCGTTCCCTGCCTGCACAGGTTGGGCAGGCCTCCCGTTCGTGGCAGTGCTAGTCGTTGTTGCGAACATCCCCGTCCTTCTCACGTTCTTTCTCCGCAACATTGCGTGCAAGAGGAAATCTGTGATCTATCAGGTATGGCAGCACGACCATTCTCTGCAACGTGCAGTTTTTTTTTTTTTTTTTTTTTTTTTTCAGCACATAACGGCTCGTTGCCACCAACATTCCCTTCCTTCTCGCATTCAACCTCCACAATATCACGTGCAAGAGGAAGTCCCCTACCAGGTATGGTGGGTGGGTGCGGTTTATGGGTAGGTACGGTTGATTCTTGAGGCGCTTCACACTTCCACCAGGCATGCTGGTGGGTGCAGTCAATAATATGAAGGAATGTGCGCTCTTTGTGGTTCTTTTCCCTTCCTCCTCTTGGTTCCTCGCTACACAGAAGTCGTTGCATGGCGCCAGAATAACGCCACAATATTTTATTCTTTCTCTTCCCACCGCCTCCACTTGTCTTTTCTGCCTGCCAGCTGCCTTCATCCAGCTCAGCCCATGGCACGTGGCACATTACAGATCCTGCCACGTGTCCAGGTTTCATTGGCCAATGGGGGCTGCTCTTTGAGACCCGCTGGGGTGGTAACCGCACCGGAGGAGCAGTCATGACCCAAACCACGACCTTAGGTTCGGGGCGAACCAGCGGCTCAGCAATAGGCTCGGCTTTTGACCGAACCAATGGTTTAGGTTCGGGCCGAATCAACGGCTCACCCTTGGGGTCAGCTTTTGCCCGAAGCAGCTTTTCTGGCAGGGCGGCGGCGGTGCATCCCATTGTGGTGGAGGGTGGGGGAGGAGGAGGAGGGAGTGCGCATGGGTACCAGATTAGCAGCACGAGGGGAGGGAGGTATGGAGGAGGAGGGGAGTGGTGGAACGTGGACGACTCATTTACACATGGGCGTGGGTACGCACATGCAGATGCAGATGCAGCGCACGGGCATGGGACAGACAACGACTCTGCCATGGGAAAAATGCGTCGCTGGTGTGGGTGGGCATCTGGGTGCATGGGGCTGGCGCACGTGCCTCTCGACCTCTCCCTCCGCTGCTCGCTGGCTGTGGTTGTAGCGAGCTACAGCTGGATGGCCGACACTGCCAGCTCAGCAGACGCTGCCAGCTCAGCAAGTGCCAGCTCAGCAGCAGCAGGAGACGCGCGTGCGCAGTGCATTGTCCTGCTCACCCTCTCCTGCCTCCACTTCCTCTACCTCGCCCTCGCCCGCCCCTACATCAGCGCCTCCCTCCTACTCTCAGACCTCCTCGCCTCCGCCTCCCACGTCTCCCTCTTCTCTGTCTGCCTAGCGATTGCCACTGGAGCGATCGCCCCCTCTGCAGCAGGCGCAGCTGGGTCGGGCCTGCTGGCGCTGCTGCTGGTGTCTTTTCTGGGGCAGTTGCTGTGTTTCGTGAGGGCGTTAAGCAAGGACGCGTGTGGGATTGGGTTTGTGTACTATGACGGGATGTTTGGGAGGGGAAAGAGGTTGGGAGGCGGGGAGAGGGGAGGGCAGGGGATGGGGGCGCGAGGGGCAGGGAGTGGGGGAGACGGCAGGGGCGGGGGAGAGGGGGGGGAGGGGGAAGGGGAGGGGTATGCGGGGTCAGCGAGTGAGACTGCGACTGATAGATCGGTGACCTTAAGTGGGGGATTTCTGGGTGGAGTCTCCCTGCTAGCCTATGGTCTCATGCTCTTCTTTCTAGGTCCTTTTGGATTCGGATCCCGTAGATTTGATACGGAATCTAGAGATCTGGGCGGGGACTCAGGGAGCCAATCAGGGTGGAGGAAAGCGTGGGGGGGCGGGAGGAAGGGGGGAGGGGGGATGGGGTCAAGATACCACATGGATAGGCGGAGTGAGCTGGGGGGGTCTCCAGAGGCGCCGTTTCCGGTGAAAGGGGGCTCTAGGGGGAGCAGCAGAGGCAGGCCTGGGAGCCAAAGCAGCAGTGAGAACAATAGTAGTGGTGGTGGTGCTGGCGGTGGCAGAGGGGCTTCTAATGGCCCAACTTATAACGAGTACGCTTCCTCGAACCGGGTGACGGATTCCGAGCCCAGACCGGTCCGATCAGGGGCGTCTCAGTTTGAATCAGCAGGGCAAGCAAGTGGGGGGGGCGGAACCTCAGGGGGGGGAAGGATACTGGGGGATTCTATGGCGTCTGGGGGGAGGGGGAGGGGGGAATCAGGCGGAAGGGGGGAGGCGGGGGAGCCAGGGGGGTATGGAACGGATGAGGGGGAGGAGTGGCGGAACTCCCCCCGGATGCTCATGCAGCTGCTGCCCATGCTGGCGCCCTCGTGGGCTAAAGAAGGTGGGGGGAGAGAAGGGGTAGGAGGAGGGGGAGGGGGAGGGGCGTCAACAGAAGGTGTAAGTGCTGCTGCTGCTGCTGTTCCTGCTAGCGCTGGTACGGCTGGTGGTGCCGGTGCTGGGGTGCTGGGCGCGGTGTTTGGAGCAGGGGCGGCTGCAGCTTCGCTGGGGGTCGGTGCTGTCACTGCAGCAGCAGCGGCTGTTACCGCTGGTGGTGGTGGTAGGAATAGGACACATACTGACAACACAAAGGTGAGGGGCAGGCCCCACCTGCTGAGCCCGAGAACGTGGGGGAGGAAAGGAAAGCAGGAGAAGGAGAACTGGGGGAGGGAAGGGCAGTCGGATATGGCAGGAGCGGCAAATACTATGGCTTCTCCTGCATCTCCTGCTTCCCCTGCTGCTGGCACCGGTGCTCTAAGCCCTCTTTCCCCTCGACGAATCTCCCCGCTCCCTGTGCTGTGTGGTAACCAGAATGGGGCACTTGCTGCTGCTGCGATCGCCAGTAATGGCGTAACATCAGCGTCCGCTGGCCCGTCCACTACTCTGCCAAGTGAATCTTGGTCCTCTCTCTCCTCTTTCTCCTCTAGTGAGCGCTCGGCCAGTGCTGCTGCTGCAGCAGCTGCGCTGATGCAAGGTGTGGGAGGGAGGAGAGGGAAGGGAGAGAGGGGAGGGGGAGGAGGAGGAGGGGAGGATTTGTTTGGGGGGTTAAGGGCGAGGGTAGAGTATTTGAGAAGCAGGAGATTGCAGGAGTTGGGAAGGGGGGGTGGGGGAGAGGAGAGGGAGGGGGCGAGGGGAGGAGGTGGAAGAGATGCAAGGAGAGAGGGTAACAGGAGCAGAAGTGGCAGGGAGGAGAGGAGGAGGGGGAAAGAACTGGGAAAGGAGAGGATGCAGGAGCATGAGGACGAGGAGGAGGAGGAGCAGGAGAGAGGGGTAGAAGTGGTTGTAGACACGGAAATGAACATGAGCTGGGCGTCTAGTGTGGGCTCTGGTGGGGGGCCGGAGTGGATTAGTGAAATGAAGGGGCGGGGAGGGGGGAAGTGGAGGAAGGGGAGGGGTGTGAGTAGAGGGGGAGGAGGGGGGGAGGGGGAGGAAGGGACGATGGGGTCGGCTGCATGGTCGGGGATAGGCGGGGTGAGAGTGGATAGCATGGGGTTTAGGGTTGATAGTGTCAAGTCCGTTCAGAAACCTCTGCGTAATGCTACTCCTGAGGTTGCTGCTGGCACTGCTGGTGCTGGTGCTGGTGCTGGTGGTGCTGGTGTTGGTGCAGCAGCAGCAGGAGCAGGTGACCTGGGTCGGTCTGTCGTTGCCAGTTGCAGCATCGGTCCTGATAGCACCCCCACTCTTCTCACCCCCACCGCTCTCACTCCCACCACTCACACCCCCACCACGCCACCCCCGCACCATCGCACCCACAGCATCACCTGCCACAAATCCCTAGAAGCTGAAGACGACGTCGATCCTGATGCCTCCCCATTCGCATCGCCCTCCCCCTCCCTCTCCCCCTCCCCCTCGCCCGACCCTAGAAGGCCCTACCGCCTGCCCTCCCTTTCTGAAGCGCCTCAGAGCGCCTCTCCTGACCCCCGTCGGCCCTATACCCCACAGCCCAGAGCGGTGAAGAGCGGTTACGCGTGGTCCAGCAGGCATGCAGCGTATGGGACGGACACGGACGTTTCTAGAGAGGCGTCTGAAGCCACCCCGCCTGCTTTTGGTGCTCCTGCTACAGCTACAGCGGCTGTGGCTGCTGCTGTTGCCAGAGGTGGTGGTGCTGTTAAAGCACCTGACGCTGCTGCTGCTACTGCTGCTGCAAAGGGAGCTGCAAAGGGAGCTGCAAAGGGAGCTGCTCTGCCTGCCACTCACCCCAAGCCGTACCGGCCCGCCACTGCAGCAGCCTCCTCCTTTCACCCCTCCTCCTCTCACCCCTCCTCCCACTCCCTCTCTCACTCCCTCACTCACTCCCTCTCTGCCTCCTCCCAGGCGTCCAGTGCTACAGCTGCCGTCCCTGCCACTCCCACCGCCCTCACCGTAGATGCGGCTGTAGCAGCCATGGCGGCTGCAGCAGGGGGGGACCCCGTGCTACAGCCGCCGCTACAGCCGGGGCTATGGAGCATGGTGGCAGGCGCTGCTGGATCCATCATGGGAAGCTTCTGGGGTGGTTCGCCAGGGGAAGGGCCAGAGGTGGCGGATGGTGGGGAGGGGAAGGGAGGGAGGGATGAGGAGAGGGGGAGGGGGATGGAGATGGATGGTTCGATCTCACAACTGGACGGTTCTCTATCGCAACTGGAGGGGTCTCTCTCTCAAATGGATGGCTCTATGTCACAGGCCCTCACGCCCTTATCGTCTATCTCTACCCCGCCTTCCCTCTCCTCCCCCTCCACCTCTCTCTCTCACCCTTCAGAGCTCTCAGGGCACTCAGGGCTCTCAGGGCTCTCAGGGGCTCTCCCCGATGGGAAAGAGCAGCAGGCAGTATCTCGCAGCATCACCCCCCTCACCCCCCTCTCCTCCCTCACGCCTGCCTCCTCCCTATCCCCTCTCTCCTCCGCCGCCCCCCTCTCGTCCCTCTCCTCGCCCCAATCGAGCTGCGCCACGTCATCATCAGGCTCGGGTGTAGCGAGGAAGAAGCACGTTTCAGGCGCAGTGGTAGAGCCAAGAAAGGCAGTGAGTGAGGTGGAGGCCTTGGCCCTACCCCCCAACAAAGCTGGCTCGTTTGGGATGAAGGAAGGATGGGGTGAGCCAGGGGGGGTTGGTCAAGAAAGGGCCTCTTTTGAGGCGCCTCAGAGATTAGACCCTCAAAGAGGAGGTGGCCACGTGGGGAAGGTTGGTGGGGCGGTAGGGCAGGGGAGGGGAGGAGAGCGGGAGGAAAAAGCAGGAGGAGAAGGGGAGAGAGGGAGAGGAGCGGGAGGAGAAGGGGAGATAGGGAGAGGAGCGGGAGGAGAAGGGGAGCGAGGGAGAGGAGGGGCTCTGAGTAGGTGGATGCATGCGAAGAGACAGGTGGCTGCAGGGAGGCATGCGGCGGTTTCTGTGGCAGCAGCAGCAGCAGCAGCAGAGAGGGTGAAACCAGCAGCTGTAGTAGCAACAGGGAGGGTAAAGCCGGCTGTAGCAGGAGACGAGAGGGTAAAGCCGGCCGTAGCAGCAGCCGAGAGGGTAAAGCCGGCTGTAGCAGCAGCCGAGAGGGTAAAGCCGGCTGTAGCAGCAGCCGAGAGTGTGAAGCCGGCTGCAGCAGCAGTGACAGCAAAAGCTGCAGCCGCAGCAGAAAGAACAAAGCCTTTTGTTGCGGCAGCAGCAGCAGCAGCAGCAGGAGCAGCAGCAGAACGGCCAACTCTAGAAGCAGCAGCAGAACGGCCAACTCTAGAAGCAGCAGCAGAGAAAAGAGCAGCAGCACAGGCCCGATCGCCTGTTGTTGTTCGGCATGCGATGATGGATGCTGGAGGAACCTACTATGGGCTAGACGCACACAGGAGAACAGAGAGACGGGTAGAGAGAGCAGAAGGGAGAGGGGAAGAGAGGGGAGCAGAGAGAGAGGCGGATAGGGGAGCAGAGAGAGGAGCAGAGGGCGTGGCAGCAGCTGCTGGAGGAACGTCCACAGGATTGGAGGCAGGCCGGGGAGCACCCTACTCAAACCGCCCAAATCAGTACTCAAGCCACCCAAATGAAGACTTGAGCCGCCCAAATCAGGTCTCCAGCCACCCAAGCCACAATCTAGCTGGCCAGCCTATGGCAGACCAAGACCGCATGGAGATAGAGACAATATCCGAGACCTCCCCGATTTCCGAGTCCACGCTGTCGGTTACCCCGTCTCCCTCTCAGTCGAACTCCTACTCCCACGGCCACTCCAGGTCGGGCCTCCGCCTGAGATCCTGGTCCAAGTCGAGGTCGCGCTCCCAGGCGCACTCAGGTGCTTTTTCAGGTGCCCAGTCAGATGCTCGTGCGGGGTCGGGCTCCAGCGGGCAGCTGAACGGGCAGGTTAACGGGCAGGCGGGTACATTTTCAAGGTCGCAGGGTGGTTCTTGTGGCGATGACCTGGCAGCTGGGAGAGGGTCCTCGCATGGTAGAGGCTCGTCGGCTGCTGCTTCTGTTGGTAGAGGCTCGTCGGCTGCTGCTTCTGTTGGTAGAGGCTCGTCGGCTGCTGCTTCTAATGGTCCCGCAGCTTCAAACGGCGTGGCTCCTTCAAACCCTTCCCATCGATACGGCCCCGTGGACTCACTTTCTGATTCATTCGCCTCCTCCTTTACCACCTCAATAGAGCCCACCCCAATACAGTCACTTTCCCCGCTGTCAACTTCGCTGCTGTCCCCGTCTGCAATATCTGGGTCGCTTTCTGGGTCGGAAGGAGGGAGCTTGAACATTGTAAGGAGCGAGCTTGAAAGGAGGATAAGAGAAACCAGCAGAGCGCTGGAGACTGAGGGGAAGGCGGAGGGGAAGGGCGGGGAGTGCGAGTGGGGGGGGAGTGGAGGTGTGGGAGTGAGGCGTTGGGAGAGAGGAGGGAAGGAGGAGGAGGGGGAGAGGGTGGATAAAGAGAAGGAGGATGAGGAGGTGGAGGAAGAGGGGGAGAAGGAGGAGAGGTATGAGGAGGAGAGGGAGGAGAGGGAAGAGAGTCCGCTGCGGAGAATGCCCTTGTGGAGGGATGAGATGGATGAGAACACCGCGACTTCCCCTCCGACCAAGGAGGGTGGAACGAGGAGGGAGGAAGGGAATCCCCCTCTGATGGCGGATGGGATAGGAAGAGATTTTGGGAATGGCAGAAGTGCCGCTGGTACAGGTTTTGCTGGTTCAGGTGTTGCTGGTACAGATGTTGCTGTTACAGGTGTTGCTGGTACAGGTGTTGCTGATGCAGGTGCTGCAGCTGTTGATTTTGGTCCTGCTGCAGCGTCTGCTGCTGCATTTGGGGGAGGAATGGCAGCAGCAACCGCAGCAGCAGCAAGAGTGTCTGCCTTGGTTGGCAGATCACCAGCTTCTGTCGCATATGGCAAAGCAGGTCCGGCTTATGGCAGGGCCTGTGCAACTCATGGCACGGCTGGGGAAGCAGCTGTCACCCCCGCCGCTGCAGCCGATGCAGCTTCTCTCGCACGGGCTGCTGCTGCAGCGGCCAGAGCAGCAGCTGCAGAGGTGGCAGCGGGAGGGGGGATGCGTGGAGGGGAGAAGAGTGGAGCGGGTCAGACTGCGGCGCAGGCAGCCAACAGACATCAAATGGTCGGGTCAGAGAAGGACCGTCCCAAGGGAGGTTCGGCAAGGCACAGCTCTGGCGACTCTGGTTCGGGAGGCTTTGGTTCGGGAAGCTCTGGTTCGGGGCGAGCAGGAGAAGAGAGGATGTGGCAGAAGGAGGGTAGCCTGAGTGGGGTGGCGGCAGGAGCAGCATTCAGTGCCACGTGTCAGAATCCGAGTGGCTCATGGACAAGCTATGATATCCAGGTGTCCGCCTCTCTGTCAGAATCCAAGGGCCAATCATCCATCCCTTCTCCCTCTGACCCCTCTGACCCCTCCTGCCCCCCCTCTCCTCTCCCCCCCTCTGGTAGTTTCCTCACCTCGATTGAAATATCCAACTCCCCGTTACCATCACTATCACCTTCTATAAGCAGGCCTGAGCGCCCGTTTCAGTCACCTTCGGTTAGTGCGTTGAGTCCATGGGGCAAGGAGAGGGGTGATGAGAAGGAGAGGAGTGGGAGGGAGGGGGGGAGGGGTGAGGGGGCGAGTAGCGGAATGGGAAGATGGAACGGTGAGAGGGGGTTCTTAGCTAGGAGAGTGGCTAGTGGGAGCAGCAAGGAGGCAGAGAATGACGACGATGAGGAGGAGGTGGGGGAGGATGGTTTTAATTATGTCAATGACGATGATTTCCAAGAAGATTCCCAGGAGATGTGGGGAGGGGGGCCGGGGAGGGTGTTATCAGCAGCACGCAGGGCAGAGGGGAGAGGGAGGATCATCATCATGGCGCACGGGAGGGGGCGAGGGATTCGGAAGAAGGGGGTGCGGCCGGGGCAGCAGGACCAGCTTCCGGACGTGGCTAGGCTGATCCGGCCACAAGCTCCCCTGAGGCTGAGCTATGGCGTGAGTCCTGAGGCGCTGCGAGGGGTGAAGCTGAGGAAGGTGCGGGACGACGAGGAGAGTGAGGAGCGGTGGGAGGAGGAGAGGAGGAGGGAGGAGAGGAGGAAAGAGGAGAGGAGGAAGGAGGAGGAAAGGAAGAAGCTGCGTTCAAACAGGGCCAATGGTGATGGTCAGGTGGGAGGTAAGCAAGGGGGGGACAGGCAAGGGGGAGACAGGCAAGGGGGAGACAGGCTCACAGATGGGGGCAGCACTCGGGAAGGGGTGCAGACCAGTTTGCGTGAATCCACAGCCAGTAATGCATCAGTCTTTAACGTGTACAGTGGGGCAAGGGAAGGATATGGAGCCAGCAAGGCTCTTGGAGTGGATCCCTCTGGGTCAGTCTCAACTGCAAGGCCAGCAGTGGAGTCCGAAAGTGAAGGTAACGGAGGGGTGGGTGTAGGTAGTAGCACTGGGGTCGGTGCAAGTGGGGGAGGTGGGTTGCCTGTTTGGGGGGGAAGGGCACGAATGGTGTCACCTGTGGGGCGAGAGGAGGGAGGGACGGGGCATGGTGGAGGGAGAGGGAGTGTGGGAGGGAGGGGAATAGGTGGGGCGGGGAGAGGGAGGGGAAGGGGAAGATTAGGGGAGAAGCTGAAGGAGAGTCCGTTCCTGAGAAATAGCACATGTGAGTCAGGCACAGTGAATGAATAGTTGGGAGACAATCTATTAAATAGGTGTAAGTGTACAAATAGATATTAAATATGTAGCTTAGCCATATATTAATATAATGTTATTGAAAGATTCGGGGAAAAAATCCAGATATAAGGGGATTAGCCGTGTATAGTAGTTGTAGGCTGTTTTTTCTTGTGTGGCTTTTGTGTTGGACTACCATTGTCTTGGACTTTAGATGGGGTTGAGTGTTCCCCATATTAATACATAACCTCCACAATGGACTCCTCACCCCAAGGGCACCAGGGCACACCTTTGCGCCACGTCACGCAAGAGCGATTGAGGTAGCCACTAACATGAGTCCATGTGGACAGTAATAATTACCGCCTCGATTCCGCACCACACCAGAATATTGGGCTCCTGAACAGAGCTGCCTTGGGGTTGCCTCTTCCCGCCAAGCATCATCTGTCACTCTGGCTTTCGCCTCATCGCTAGTACGTTTGGAAACGGTGCGAGACGATGGAAAGTGGTTTATTGCGTCCCTGCTTTGAACCGCGGGGCAATAGAACAAACCGTACCAAAACGAACTGGAAAATTGCTTGTGATAATCGGCTCGTCAGGCTGATTTGTGGAGTGTGAGAGGGGCATTTGGTCTGCTGTGCAAACGCATTCAGGTGGAGCAACTCCACACTCGCTCTAGAAGTCAAAACGAGTTGAGCTCGATCCAGGATCCTTGGGCTCGTCGGGCGAATTCATCGGTCCGCCGCACCGTAAGCTCTTGTATCGATTCCTGCGATTGTTGCTAGTAAAAGCCGTCCGGACACGTGTCATTCGCAGCACGATCGCCCGTCCAATGGCCGCCTCTGTTTCCCTCCTCCACGTGGCGCAAACTCCGCCCGCCGCCCGCATTGTGGCGGGCGCGCTAGCTGCACCGCTTTCGACTAGCCCGTCTTCCGCTCATCAACTCCGCGCTGTTCCCGCGGATTCCTCTCTCCGCGCAATTAGTGCTTCCCCCTTTCACTCCGCCGTCGCCGCTACTTCCCGCCGCGCGCGATTCACAGTCCGCGCTTCTTCCGCCGACGCCGACGTGTCGTCCGAGTCAGCAGCCGGCGATTCCACGTCAGCAGCACCAGCCGCCGCCGCCACCACCGCCGTCGCCACGGCTGTTCCCCCTCCAGCTGCGGAATCCCCGTCAGAGATCCCGGCGGTAATCGCGGATGAAGCAGCAGCAGCCGACGCAGCGCCAGTCGCAGAGGAGGCGCCTAAGAGGCGGAGGCGCGCGCCGCCGAAGAAATTAAAGCGCGAGGAGAAGGCGATCGCGACGTGGGGGTGGGACGGGCGATCGGCGAAGGATCTAGATGCGCTGGAGAGGTGGCTGCTATCCAAGGGGCTGCCGCAGCAGAAGATGGCGCTGAGGCTCGTGCGGGAGGGAGGAAGGGGGCTTGTGGCGACGGAGAATATTGGGAAAGGCGAGGGGATTCTGAACATTCCCGAGAAGCTGCTTATAACGGGAGAAACGGTGAGTTGATTGGTGTTTATAACAGGAGGATCGGTGAGTTGGGTGGTGCTTATAACGGAGGAACGATGAGGGATGTAGACGCGCTAGAGAAGCGGTTACCGCAGCAGAAGATTGCGTCGAGGCTGTCCGAGGGAGGGACGACGCAGACTCGTGAGAGGTGGTGAGGCGAGCGCTTGAATGTGAGACTGCCGCAGCAGAAGATGGCGCTGAGGCTCGTGCGGGAGGGAGGACGCGGATTGGGGAAAGTGGCGAGGTGAGGAGTGTAAAGGGGGGTGAGTGGAAGCCGAAGCAGATGAACGCATAGGACGACACGCAGAGTTTGGTGTTCAGGCTGGTCTTCAGATTGATGGCTGCAGCCTACCCTAACGCTTAATGGCTACTGGCTCGAAGCAGAAGCAGATGAACGCATAGGACGACACGCAGATTTCGGTGTTCAGGCTGGTGGGGGAAGGAGGGCGCATGGGAGTGTTGGGAGTGGTTCCGCCACCCACGGTGGACTACTTGGGACTCTGGGTGATGGGCGCGGAGCAGCGCGTTCTGTGGAGCGCGCGCGGCCAACGTGCCAGCCTAGCATCCTCTTTGTTATCCGCTTGGCACTCCCTTCCCCTCACTCACTCACCCAACCCCCCAGGTTTACAGCTGCCCACGCGTAGCCCCCCTACTCAAGGCTGCCGACGTGTCGGACTGGCCAGCTCTTGCTGTCTACATCCCCTCACCCCCAGGTCTACATCCCCTCACCCCCAGGGCTACATCCCCTCACCCCCAGGGCTACATCCCCTCACCCCCAGGGCTACATCCCCTCACCCCCAGGTCTACATCCCCTCACCCCCAGGTCTACATCCCCTCACCCCCAGGGCTACATCCCCTCACCCCCAGGGCTACATCCCCTCACCCCCAGGGCTACATCCCCTCACCCCCAGGGCTACATCCCCTCACCCCCAGGTCTACATCCCCTCACCCCCAGGTCTACATCCCCTCACCCCCAGGGCTACATCCCCTCACCCCCAGGTCTACATCCCCTCACCCCCAGGTCTACATCCCCTCACCCCCAGGTCTACATCCCCTCACCCCCAGGTCTACATCCCCTCACCCCCAGGTCTACATCCCCTCACCCCCAGGTCTACATCCCCTCACCCCCAGGTCTACATCCCCTCACCCCCAGGTCTACATCCCCTCACCCCCAGGTCTACATCCCCTCACCCCCAGGTCTACATCCCCTCACCCCCAGGTCTACATCCCCTCACCCCCAGGTCTACATCCCCTCACCCCCAGGTCTACATCCCCTCACCCCCAGGTCTACATCCCCTCACCCCCAGGTCTACATCCCCTCACCCCCAGGTCTACATCCCCTCACCCCCAGGTCTACATCCCCTCACCCCCAGGTCTACATCCCCTCACCCCCAGGTCTACATCCCCTCACCCCCAGGTCTACATCCCCTCACCCCCAGGTCTACATCCCCTCACCCCCAGGTCTACATCCCCTCACCCCCAGGTCTACATCCCCTCACCCCCAGGTCTACATCCCCTCACCCCCAGGTCTACATCCCCTCACCCCCAGGGCTACATCCCCTCACCCCCAGGCTACATCCCCTCACCCCCAGGTCTACATCCCCTCACCCCCAGGTCTACATCCCCTCACCCCCAGGTCTACATCCCCTCACCCCCAGGTCTACATCCCCTCACCCCCAGGTCTACATCCCCTCACCCCCAGGGCTACATCCCCTCACCCCCAGGGCTACATCCCCTCACCCCCAGGTCTACATCCCCTCACCCCCAGGGCTACATCCCCTCACCCCCAGGTCTACATCCCCTCACCCCCAGGTCTACATCCCCTCACCCCCAGGTCTACATCCCCTCACCCCCAGGTCTACATCCCCTCACCCCCAGGTCTACATCCCCTCACCCCCAGGTCTACATCCCCTCACCCCCAGGTCTACATCCCCTCACCCCCAGGTCTACATCCCCTCACCCCCAGGGCTACATCCCCTCACCCCCAGGGCTACATCCCCTCACCCCCAGGGCTACATCCCCTCACCCCCAGGTCTACATCCCCTCACCCCCAGGTCTACATCCCCTCACCCCCAGGTCTACATCCCCTCACCCCCAGGGCTACATCCCCTCACCCCCAGGGCTACATCCCCTCACCCCCAGGGCTACATCCCCTCACCCCCAGGGCTACATCCCCTCACCCCCAGGTCTACATCCCCTCACCCCCAGGTCTACATCCCCTCACCCCCAGGTCTACATCCCCTCACCCCCAGGTCTACATCCCCTCACCCCCAGGTCTACATCCCCTCACCCCCAGGGCTACATCCCCTCACCCCCAGGTCTACATCCCCTCACCCCCAGGTCTACATCCCCTCACCCCCAGGTCTACATCCCCTCACCCCCAGGTCTACATCCCCTCACCCCCAGGTCTACATCCCCTCACCCCCAGGTCTACATCCCCTCACCCCCAGGTCTACATCCCCTCACCCCCAGGTCTACATCCCCTCACCCCCAGGTCTACATCCCCTCACCCCCAGGTCTACATCCCCTCACCCCCAGGTCTACATCCCCTCACCCCCAGGTCTACATCCCCTCACCCCCAGGGCTACATCCCCTCACCCCCAGGGCTACATCCCCTCACCCCCAGGTCTACATCCCCTCACCCCCAGGTCTACATCCCCTCACCCCCAGGTCTACATCCCCTCACCCCCAGGGCTACATCCCCTCACCCCCAGGGCTACATCCCCTCACCCCCAGGTCTACATCCCCTCACCCCCAGGGCTACATCCCCTCACCCCCAGGTCTACATCCCCTCACCCCCAGGTCTACATCCCCTCACCCCCAGGTCTACATCCCCTCACCCCCAGGTCTACATCCCCTCACCCCCAGGTCTACATCCCCTCACCCCCAGGTCTACATCCCCTCACCCCCAGGTCTACATCCCCTCACCCCCAGGGCTACATCCCCTCACCCCCAGGTCTACATCCCCTCACCCCCAGGTCTACATCCCCTCACCCCCAGGGCTACATCCCCTCACCCCCAGGGCTACATCCCCTCACCCCCAGGGCTACATCCCCTCACCCCCAGGTCTACATCCCCTCACCCCCAGGTCTACATCCCCTCACCCCCAGGGCTACATCCCCTCACCCCCAGGGCTACATCCCCTCACCCCCAGGGCTACATCCCCTCACCCCCAGGGCTACATCCCCTCACCCCCAGGTCTACATCCCCTCACCCCCAGGTCTACATCCCCTCACCCCCAGGGCTACATCCCCTCACCCCCAGGTCTACATCCCCTCACCCCCAGGTCTACATCCCCTCACCCCCAGGTCTACATCCCCTCACCCCCAGGGCTACATCCCCTCACCCCCAGGTCTACATCCCCTCACCCCCAGGTCTACATCCCCTCACCCCCAGGGCTACATCCCCTCACCCCCAGGTCTACATCCCCTCACCCCCAGGTCTACATCCCCTCACCCCCAGGTCTACATCCCCTCACCCCCAGGTCTACATCCCCTCACCCCCAGGTCTACATCCCCTCACCCCCAGGTCTACATCCCCTCACCCCCAGGTCTACATCCCCTCACCCCCAGGTCTACATCCCCTCACCCCCAGGTCTACATCCCCTCACCCCCAGGGCTACATCCCCTCACCCCCAGGGCTACATCCCCTCACCCCCAGGTCTACATCCCCTCCCCTCACCTCCGTTCGTCCAGGTCTACAGCTGCCCGCGTGTGGGCGCTCATCTCAAGGCGGCCAACGTGCCTGACTGGCCCGCGCTGGCTGCCTACTTGCTCAGCGAGGCGGGCAGAGGGCCGGCGTCGGAATGGGCTGTCTATATCGAGACCCTGCCGCGTGCCCCTCCCTGCATTCTGCAATGGTCAGTTGGAAAGGGTTGGGGGGCGGTTACGAGGGGTTATGCGGGGTTGTGGGGAATTTGGGGCTGCTGAGGGTTGGCGTCTGAATGGAGTGTGTACTTTCCAATTATTTCAAGTACTTTTCCACGTGTGCTTTCCAATTATTCCACCCCTCTCCCCGCCAAGCTGACAAGTTTTGTATCACTACGTCTTGCCTCCCTGTCTCCCACTCTGTCTCAGGTCCATCGACGAGGTGGATGTGCTTCTAAAGGGGTCGCCCATCAGGCAGCGTGCGATTGAAGCCATTGCTGACGTCACAAACACGTAAGAATATGGCCTCAGCAATGGCTATCGGCCATGAGTAAGCAAATCGGCAACGAGAGCGCTTTTAGCTGGGGGCTGACGTCACGACCTTGTAAAGGGTTCTCACATACCAGGCAGGCAGTGTGCGATTGAGTCGATCACTGGCGTCACAAACACTCAAGGGACACTGAATGCAGCATTGGCAGTGCTGCTGCCTGTCTGCCCTCACTCCTCCCTGCCTGCCTGATCTTCTCCGTTTTCTTTAGCCCTAAATACCCTGTAACCCCCACCCTCCCCCCCCCCCCCCCCGCTGGGTACAACTGTATCTATTGGCCTGCCCTCACTCGCTTCTCTAACCTTCCAGCCCCACTCCCTGTATCCCCCTCACTGCCCCTCACACCCTGTATGTCCCTCACTGCCCCTCACACCCTGTATGTCCCTCACTGCCCCTCACACCCTGTATGTCCCTCACTGCCCCTCACACCCTGTATGTCCCTCACTGCCCCTCACACCCTGTATGTCCCTCACTGCCCCTCACACCCTGTATGTCCCTCACTGCCCCTCACACCCTGTATGTCCCTCACTGCCCCTCACACCCTGTATGTCCCTCACTGCCCCTCACACCCTGTATGTCCCTCACTGCCCCTCACACCCTGTATGTCCCTCACTGCCCCTCACACCCTGTATGTCCCTCACTGCCCCTCACACCCTGTATGTCCCTCACTGCCCCTCACACCCTGTATGTCCCTCACTGCCCCTCACACCCTGTATGTCCCTCACTGCCCCTCACACCCTGTATGTCCCTCACTGCCCCTCACACCCTGTATGTCCCTCACTGCCCCTCACACCCTGTATGTCCCTCACTGCCCCTCACACCCTGTATGTCCCTCACTGCCCCTCACACCCTGTATGTCCCTCTCTGTCCCTCACTCCCTGTATGTCCCTCACTGCCCCTCACACCCTGTATGTCCCTCACTGCCCCTCACACCCTGTATGTCCCTCACTGCCCCTCACACCCTGTATGTCCCTCACTGCCCCTCACACCCTGTATCTCCCTCTCTGCCCCCCACTCCCTGTATGTCCCTCACTGCCCCTCACACCCTGTATGTCCCTCACTGCCCCTCACACCCTGTATCTCCCTCTCTGCCCCCCACTCCCTGTATGTCCCTCTCTGTCCCTCACTCCCTGTATGTCCCTCTCTGTCCCTCACTCCCTGTATGTCCCTCACTGCCCCTCACACCCTGTATGTCCCTCACTGCCCCTCACACCCTGTATGTCCCTCACTGCCCCCCACACCCTGTATCTCCCTCTCTGCCCCCCACTCCCTGTATCTCCCTCTCTGTCCCTCACTCCCTGTATCTCCCTCTCTGTCCCTCACTCCCTGTATCTCCCTCTCTGTCCCTCACTCCCTGTATCTCCCTCTCTGTCCCTCACTCCCTGTATCTCCCTCTCTGTCCCTCACACCCTGTATGTCCCTCTCTGTCCCTCACACCCTGTATCTCCCTCTCTGTCCCTCACACCCTGTATCTCCCTCTCTGTCCCTCACACCCTGTATCTCCCTCTCTGTCCCTCACACCCTGTATCTCCCTCTCTGTCCCTCACACCCTGTATCTCCCTCTCTGTCCCTCACTCCCTGTATCTCCCTGCCTGCTTCGCTCCTGCTTCATCAGCTTCACAGAGCTGGACACTGCTATCTTCTCGAAGCACAGGGACGTCTTTCCGGAGAAGGTGAGAGTGGAAGGGGAGAATGGGTGTGAGGGAAGAGAGGTGAAGGGGTGTGTGTGTGTGGGGGGGGTTTGGTATGCATTTATTTCATGCCCATATCTGACCCACCTTGGGTTTAACACTGCCATCTTCTCGAAGCACAGGGACGTCTCTCCGGAGAAGGTGAGAGTGGAAGGGGAGTGGGAGTGAGAGGGGTATGAGTTGACTTAAAGCCCACATCCGACCCAAAGCCCGCATGTGACTCACCTTGGGCTTGGCACTGCTACCTTCTCAAAGCACAGAGTCGTCTTTCTGGAGAAGGTGAGTGGGGAGGAGGGAATGGGGGTGTGAGGGAAGAGGTGGATGGACGCGGTGGGAGGAGCATGAGCTGGCTTTAAGCCCACGTATGACCCACCTTGACCCCTTGGCCCTGTGCTCTTTTCGAGGCACAGGGACGCCTTTCCAGAGAAGGTGAGAGTGGGGGAGAACTTGAGGGTGTTGGGGGGAGGGAGGGGAGGGTAGGGGGGAGGATGGTTGAGGAAATGCGCCTCAAATCACAGGTGCGGTTTTTTATAGAAGGTGGGATTGAGTGTGCTTTTGAGTCGACTCAAATATAGAAGGTGGGGTTGAGTGACCGGGGAAGAAGAGGATGATGGGTTGTTTGAGGCGCCCAAAAGAAGGGACCTTGAGAGTGCCCTTGTGTGTTTCTGCCCCTTCTTTTCCGCTTCAATGCAAAGCTTTGCATCCATTCTGTGATTTTGGCACGCTCTGTAAAGCAGCTCGCTTACAACACTCTTTCCTACTTGCGATCAACCGGCTCCCGCCATTGCGCTCACTGGATGATATCCCAAGGTCTCTTCAGTGATTAGCTTGTGTGATTTGGGACAAGCCCGTCCAACCCTTCTGACCTCGTTGTGTTCCACCGCTCTCCCTTCCCCCTCCCCTTTCCCTCCCCACAGCTTTTCACCCTCAACAATTTCAAGTGGGCTTTCGCAGTCCTCTTTTCCCGCCTGGTGAGCAACGTGATGACTCTCCTCCTTTACTTCCTCGCCCTTCTATTCTCTTCTCTTCCTTCGCTTCTCTTCCTGGTGAGCAACGTGACTCTCCTCCTTTACTTCCTCGCCCTTCTATTCTCTACTCTTCCTTCGCTTCTCTTCTCTCGCCTTCCTATCTTCTCTTCTCTTCTCTCGCCGTCTTGTCTTATCTCTTGTCCTCTTCTCCCGACTGCTGAGCCACCTGCATTTCCTCCTCTTCTCTTCTTGCATCAGCCTCTTCGTTTCCCCCTCCCTGTTCCTTCTCACTTGATTTTTTAGTCGACTAAAAAATCCACCGGCCTCTTCGTTTCCCCCTTCCTGTCCCTTCTCACTTGCTCTGCCTTTCACTTCTCTCGTTCTCTTCTCCCAATTGGCAAGCCACATGTGTATGCGCCTCTCCCTCTCTCTTTTCTTCAGTCCTTTTTTCTTCTACTCTTTATTCCTCTTCACTTCTTTCCTCGGTTCCTCGGTTCCTCTTCCTTTGTTCACTCCTCCGCCACTTTCCTCCACTCCTCCACTTCGAGACGCTGATCCCGCACTCAGTGCCATCCCTCTAGTTTTGAGGCTCCTCGAGTTTTGAGGCTCCTCGAGTTTTGAGGCTCCTCGAGTTTTGAGGCTCCTCGAGTTTTGAGGCTCCTCGAGTTTTGAGGCTCCTCGAGTTTTGAGGCTCCTCGAGTTTTGAGGCTCCTCTAGTTTTGAGGCTCCTCGAGTTTTGAGGCTCCTCGAGTTTTGAGGCTCCTCGAGTTTTGAGGCTCCTCGAGTTTTGAGGCTCCTCGAGTTTTGAGGCTCCTCGAGTTTTGAGGCGAGTTTTGAGGCGAGTTTTGAGGCGAGTTTTGAGGCGAGTTTTGAGGCGAGTTTTGAGGCGAGTTTTGAGGCGAGTTTTGAGGCGAGTTTTGAGGCGCCTCAAAACTAGCCTCCACTCCTCCACTTCGAGACGCTGATCCCGCACTCTGTGCCATCCCTCTCCTCTACTCCTAACTGCTGCGAGTGCAAGGAAGTGCCGTGGTCTAAAAATTGGAAGGATAATTGGAGCGGGGGAGGCAGAAGCGTGTAGAGATATGCAACAAGGTTTGGGTGGTTTGACTGCGAGCCAAGTCGACGCAGAGGCTCTCGACTCTCCCTTACTCCCCCTTCCTCTCTCCTCCTTATCCCTTATCTCGTCCATCTTAGGTGCGCCTCCCTTCGCGCAACAACCGTCTAGCCCTGGTGCCGTGGGGCGACATGCTTAACCACCGATGCGAGGTGAGGGGGAGGAACAGGCTCAGCTGGGTGGGAGTGGGCAAGGGGGGGGAGGTTCAAGTGGCATGCAGCAACCGTCTAGCCCTAGTGCCGTTGGGAGTGAGCTCATCCACTGATGCGGGGTGAGGGGGGGGCAGGAGGTTCAAAGGAGTGGAGGGGTTTGAAAGGGTGGAGGGGTGGGTTTGAAGGGGTGGAGAGGTTTGAAGGGATGAAGAGGGTTGAAGGGATGCAGAGGTTTGAAGGGTACAATCAGATTTTCCCTGCCCTGTCTTCCCCTTTTTCGCCCCCTGCTCAGCTTCTACCCTTCCCCTTTCTTTTTGTAAACTGCAGCCTTGCATCGTCGTAAGCTCTCTCTCCCTCCCTCCCTCCCTCCCTCCCTCCCTCCCTCCCTCCCTCCCTCCCTCCCTCCCTCCCTCCCTCCCTCCCTCCCCCCATCCATCCCTCCCTCCCTCCCTCCCTCCCTCCCTCCCTCCCTCCCTCCCTCCCTCCCTCCCTCCCTCCCTCCCTCCCTCCCTCCCTCCCTCCCTCCCTCCCTCCCTCCCTCCCTCCCTCCCTCCCTCTGCCTCTCGCCCACTGCAGATCGAGTCGTGCATTGACGTGGACACGTGGAAAGGCAGCGTGGTATTCAAGACAGACAGGGCGTTTGCCAAGGGCAAGGAGGTGAGGCACGGGCAAGGAGGTGAGGCACGGGCAAGGAGGTGAGGCACGGGCAAGGAGGTGAGGCACGGGCAAGGAGGTGAGGCAAGGGCAAGGAGGTGAGGCACGGGCAAGGAGGTGAGGCACGGGCAGGGAGGTGAGGCACGGGCAAGGAGGTGAGGCACGGGCAAGGAGGTGAGGCACGGGCAAGGAGGTGAGGCAAGGGCAAGGAGGTGAGGCACGGGCAAGGAGGTGAGGCACGGGCAAGGAGGTGAGGCAAGGGCAAGGAGGTGAGGCAGGGGCAAGGAGGTGAGGCACGGGCAGGGAGGTGAGGCACGGGCAGGGAGGTGAGGCACGGGCAGGGAGGTGAGGCACGGGCAAGGGCAAGGGCAAGGGCAAGGGCAAGTTGGTTTTCTTTGCGCACATTGAGGTAGAGAGTTGGAAAGAAACTGTTGTTTTCAAGACAGACCAACCGAGCATTTGCCGCGGGCAAGGAGGGCCAACATTTTGTGAGGACTGCATTACTTTCCTGGAACTCTGTCTGGCTGCGTCAATATCAAGAGGTGGAAAGGGGACTCGCCTTATAGCCCAAAGCCAGCAAGTACTGCATTTGACCCCCTACATTTCCCCCCATCCCGCCACCCCCCATTATCTTATGGCCCCAAGTCCAATGGAGAGCTCCTGTTGGCCTATGGATGGTGTAGTGCCAGCCACCCGCAACCCCAGCGACTCTGTCTGGCTGCTGCTCGCCTTCTCAAGGGAACACACCTTCCCTTCCTTCCTTCTCTCCCCACCCCACCAACCCCCCTCAGGTGTTCGTGCCGGCGCAAGTCCAATTGGGAGTGGTGCCTGCCAGCACCAAGTCCAATGGGGAGCTCCAGCGACTCTGTCTCGCTGCTGCTCGCCCTCTCTCCACATTGCTCCCCTCAACCACCCCCCCTCCCCTCCCTCATTCTCCCCTTGCTCCGTCCTCCAGGTATTTGTTTCTTACGGCCCCAAGGCCAATGGAGAGCTCCTGTTGGGCGACTTTTGAGTCGACTCAAAAGTCACTTTGGTATTTGTTTCTTACGGCCCCAAGGCCAATGGAGAGCTCCTGTTGGGCCATGGAGTGGTGCCTGCCACGCGCAACCCCAGGGACTCTGCCTCTGCTGCTCGCCCTCTCTCTCCCCTGTAAACACCTCTCACCTCTCCCTTTCCCCACTCAGGTGTTTGTTTCCTACGGCCCCAAGTCCAACGGGGAGCTCCTTCTGGCCTATGGAGTAGTTCCGGCCACTCGCAACCCCAGCGACTCCGTCTCTCTGCTGCTCGCCCTCTCGCCAGACGACCCCCTCCTGCCCGTGAAAGAGGCAGCGCTGCAAGCCAATGGGCTGACATGGTGAGAAGCTGTCCTACCCTTCTGAAGGCGCCCCTAAAACTTGAACCACTCTTCTCTCTCCAGACGACCCCCTCCTGCCGGTTAAAGAGGCAGCACTGCAAGCCAATGCAATGCGCTGACCTGGTGATAAAGTCCCTCGTGTCCTTTGAGCCGACATCCTGCTCGCTCTTCCTCCAGACGACCCCCTCCTGCCAGTTAAAGAGGCAGCCCTGCAAGCCAACGGGCTGATCTGGTGAGGAACCTTCCGTACCCTTCTTAAGGCGCCTCTAAAACCACTGGGCTGACCTGGTACGCCACCGCCTGTACTCAACATTGTCAGCAACTTCGACTTAAACCACTTTTCTCTCTCCAGACGACCCCCTCCTGCCCGTGAAAGAGGCAGCGCTGCAAACCTGCATCATGTGACACCCTTGTTGTGTGGCCTGCATGTGCGTCGCTTGTTGTTCAACCAATTCCCCCCTCCATATCCTTTGTGGCACCCCTCTCTCCACATTGCAGGGCCTTTTGAGAATTCTTAAAAACACCCTGTTTTATTTTACCTATTTCCTCCCCCCCTCCATATCCTTTGTGGTAGCGCTCTCTCCTTCCCCGTCTGCATGGGCGGCTGGCTGTCCCAGCTACGCATCTGTGGTGCACTGCGTTTCCTCTGCCTGCTCGTTGCCTTCACCTTTCCATGCTCTGCTTCCCGTCCTTCCCCCCGCCCCCCCCTCCCATTCCAGCCCGCTCTCCTTCCCCGTGCGCATGGACGGCTGGCCATCTCAGCTGCTCAACTTTGCCCGCCTGGTGGCAGCAGGCCCCTCCGTCTCCCAGGAACAGATGCAGGAGGTGAGGGTCTTAGTATGGGTTGAGACCGGTTGAGTCCTGTTGAATCTTGTTGACTGGGGCTGGTTCTGCCCATCTCAGCTGCTCAACTTTGCTCCATTGGTGGCAGAAGGGCCTTCCGTCTCCCAGGATCAGATCCAGGAGCTGAGCTTGTCATACTGGGTTGACTTGTGGCAACTCTTGTTGACTACTGTTGGCTGTCGTTGGCTTGGGCTACCTCTGCCCGTCTCAGCTGCTCAATTTTGCCCGTCTAATGGCAGCAGGGCCCTCTGTGCCGCAGAATCAGTTCAAGCAGATGAGCTACTTTCCCTTCTCCCTGAGTCCCTGCGGTCCGCGAGAAGCCCTCTCTGCCCTTCACCCCCTCCTTCACTCTGGAGCACGAGGCTTGAGTGCACACAGTTTCAGCTCATCATGGCATCCTTATCTCACCGTCCTCTTTCCCCTTCTCCCTTATCTCTCTCGCCCCCTTGTCCTTCGTCCCAGCTTGCAGCAGCCACCTCTTTTGCCGGAACCCCTTCCTCCCCCTCCGCGCCTGCGGTCCGCGAGAAGCCTTCTCTGCCCTTCACCCCCTCCTTTACTCTGGAGCACGAGCTAGAGGCGAGGGAGGTGATCCTCGCTGCATGCCGCCTGGCTCTCGCTGGCTACTCCACCACTCTGCAGGTCAGTTGTCTTGAGCTTATAACGAGTACAGTGGGTTTTAGGTATGGTGTGTCCCCAACCACCCCCCTTTCTCTCTGGCGCATGAGCTAGCGGCAAGGAAGGTGATCCTCGCTGCATGCCGCTTGGCAATCGCTGGCTATTCCAGCACTCTCCAGGTCAGTAGTGGCATTGTGCTTATAACGAGTACCTTCTTAAAGAGCACAGTGTCCCTTCACCCCCTCCTTCGCTCTGGAGCACGAGCTAGAGGCAAGGTAGGTAATTCTCACCCCCTCACCTGCCCCTGCTTTTCTTTTCACTGTTCAGGAGGACGAGGCCCCGCTGGACAGCACAGCAGGACCACATCGATGGCGAGCAGAGGGTGAAACCCCAACCGAATCCTTCTCCCCTGCGCTTCCTGTTTTTGAGGCCTCCAAAATGGACGAAGGCGAGCAGAGGGTGAACCCGAAATTCTTCTCCCCTGCGCTTCCTGAAACCCCCTGCTTTTTCAAGAACCCTATAAGAAGACGAGCCCTGCTGGAGGGCACCAGCGATGACTATCTGGAGAAAGTGGAGAGCAGAAAGTGATGCACGCGCCCCCCCCCAAACCCCCCAACACCCCCCCCCCCCTCCCCCCCGCTGTGTGAAATCCCTGACTCTATTCACTTGTCAATGCGGCAGGAGGACGAGGCCCTACTGGAGGGCAACAGCGATGACTACCTGGAGGACGATGGTGAGCAGCGCGTGCGCGTGATGGCTGCTGCGGCGCTGAGGAGCAGTGAGCGCCGCATTCTGCTGCGAACAGACTTTGTAAGTCCCCTGCACGCTCGCGTTCTCACGCGAACACACTCTGTACCTCGTGCACACTCGCACTCACACAAGTGCAAGGATGCAGCGAATCGCTCGAGTGCATCTTGCTGGTAGCCATGAGCAAATGAGGTGAGTAAAAATTCGCCCCACCTACTCGCCTCGGATTTGGCGAGTAATGAGTTTTTTTTTTTTTTTTTGTTTGTTTGTTTGTTTTTTGTTTTTTTTTTGTTTTTTTTTGTTTTTTTGTTTTTTTTGTTTTTTTTTGCGATTGTACTCTGCGACTGCGAGTATTACTCGCCTCTCCTCGCCGAGTAAAAATTACTCGTTTTTTACTCTTCCTTTTTTAGCAAGTAATGTGTAATCGCAAGTAAACTCTACTTGCCTCGAGTAGTTTTTACTCGTGTCATTTGTACGAGCGCGACCCGCTCTTGGTTGGGCAGTTCATTTGAAATATACTAGATCGCGAGCTAGCTCATGGATTAGGTTGTCTCTGGATTCGTCATAGAAGTGAAATGCGCTAGTCCTTAGGTCGAGTAGAGAGGGAGGAAGGGTATTGGGTTGGTGTTAGTTGGAATTTCTAGATTGGGTGGGTTGCAGTGCGATTGGGAGGGGGGGAGGAGGGGGATTGGGTTGGTGTTGGTTGGAATTTCTATGTGGGGTGGGTTGCAGTGCGGTTGGGAGGGGGGAAGGAGGGGGTTTGGGTTGGTGTTGGTTGGAATTTCTAGATTGGGTCGGTTGCTGTGGTTGGGAGGGGGGGAGGGTTGGATTGACGATTTGAAAGACCCGGTTCAGTCCGGTTGGATTCACCAAGTTGAAATCTGGCGAATTTCTTATTGCGTATTTCTCGCCGGGCTGCCTGCCAAGAAACATGCTAGCGTACATACGCAATACGCTAGGCTGCCCTAGCGTATTTCTCCACATAGGGGGAGCACGCGGGGGGAAAGGTATTAGGGCGAGTCGAGTAAAACTCGCCTCGTGGCGAGTATTTTTGACTCGCCCCGAGTAAAAAAAAAGTCGCCCATAAGAGGCGAGTAACGAGGGGCGATTTTTGACAAAATTACTCGACCAAGTATTTCTCGCCTCGTCTGAAAACAAGGCGAGTAAGGCTCAAGGCGAGGCGAGTATTACTCGCCTCGTCATTTGCTCATGTCTACTTGCGGGTGGATGGTTGGTACCATCTGTTTGGCTGCTGGTGCTCTTTGGAGCAGCGAGATGTGTCTTCTGCTGCGAGCGCAATTCGCAACCATGCTTTGCACTTCAGCGCAAGGAGTCCAATTGATTCTCCTGGGAAGTTAGTAGCCGGCAACCATGCTTTGCACTTCAGCGCAAGGAGTCCAATTGATTCTCCTGGGAAGTTTGTAGCCGGCAACCATGCTTTGCACTTCAGCGCAAGGAGTCCAATTGATTCTCCTGGGAAGTTTGTAGCCGGCAACCATGCTTTGCACTTCAGCGCAAGGAGCACCTGGGTCAACTCAAAAGCCACCTCGGCTTAATGTCCACCCTTGAGGCGACTCAAGATTCACCTCAGTTTAACGTCACACACTTTTGAGTCGGCTCAAATGGCACATGAGCACAAGGAGCCCTTTCCTGCCTATGTTTCCTGCCTATGTTAAACTGCCTATGAGCCCAAATATGCACACCAGGCAGCAGGCCAAGGCAGGGAGCAACCAGAAGACCAGATCCCTTTCTTCTTGATCCCCCCTCTGCCTCATTCCTCCTTGTCCCTTCCCTTGATGTCTGCCATCAGGTGCTGCGCTCGGAGCTGAGGGACATGCGCAACATGCAGCAGGCCAAGGCAGGCGGCAAGCAGAAGATCGACCTCGGCAACAACTTTGGCGGAGAGAGCGCCAGCTTTATCGGCAAGATCCTGAGGAGAATAGCCCGGCCGTAGTGGCATAGCTTCGGGTTGTTGCATCAGACTGGTTGCATCGGACGGGTGTTGCATCTGGGCTCTAGAAGACATTACCACAAAAGTGGTAATAGGTATGACATTACCACAAAAGAGGTTTTATTCCAATACCGATACTCTTTCAGACCAGGAGTTTTCAAGGTTGCATGTTGTGCCTTCTGTAATAGGTAATTTGTAAAAGGCATGCAGGAAACTAATTATAGGATCTGCATACACAAGTACTTGAAGTAGAAAAGAGTACTAAAATTACCTCAGGCCACGCTGATTGATCAGTGACGATCTCAAAAAACACCCTGAAAATCAGTATTTGGTAGTGGTTTTCTTACTGGTTGGCCCTGGTTCTTTCGTTTTCAAGGCTGATTCATCAGGGTCGGTACAAGAGAACTGTCAACATATATTTTGTATATGTTATAGGCTAGATAGGTGCATGCTCATATAGTGTACAATACCTTAGGTTATATTCCCTTGTACCCCATCCTTCTAGTAAATTTTCTTACTCTGCGATGGTATCACGCTAGGTTAGGATCCCGCCCACCCGTGCTTCCGCCCTCATCCTAGCCCTAGCCCAAGCCGCCGTCGCTAGCTGCCCGTTCCTAGCCGCCCGTCGCTAGCCGCTGCTAGCCGCCGCTAGCCGCTGTCGCCCGTAGCCGCCGGCTGCCCGCCGCCCGTCGATCGCAGCCCGCTGGCCGCCTGTCGCCGCTGGCCGCCCTTAGCCGCCAGCTGCCCGCCGCCCGTCGCTGCCGCCCATCGTCGCCAGCTGCCCATAGCCCGCTGGCCGCCTGTCGCCGCCCGTAGCCGCTGGTCGCCTGTCACCGCTGGCCACCTGTAGCCGCCAGCAGCCCTAAGCCGCCAGCCCGCTGACCGCCCTTAGCCACCAGCTGCCCGCCGCCCGTCGCTGCCGCTCGAAGCCGCCAGCTTCCCGTAGCCCGCTGGCCGCCTGTCGCCGCCTGTAGCCGCCAGCCGCCCGCCGCCGTTGGCCGCCTGTCGCCGCTGGCCGCCCGTCACCGCCAGCCCGCCTGTCCCCGCTGGGCGCCCGTTGCCGCCAGCCCGCCCGTCGCCGCTGGCCGCCCACTGCCGCCAGCCGCCTGTAGCCGCTGGCAGCCCATAGCCGCCAGCCGCCAGTAGCCGCTGGCCGGCCGTTGCCACCAGCCGCCCGTAGCCGCTGGCCGTCCATAGCCGCTGGCCGCCCGTAGCCGCCGGCCGCCCGTTGCCGCCAGCCATCCATCGCCGCTGGCCGCCTGCTGCCACCAGCCGCTCGTAGCCGCTGGCCGCCTGTAGCCGCCAGCCGCCAGTAGCCGCTGGCTGCCCGTCCCCGCTGGCCGCCCGTTGCCGCCAGCCCGCCCGTAGCTGCTGGCCCGCCTGTAACCGCCTGCCCGTCGCTGCCAGACGCCCGTAGCCGCCAGCTGCTGCCCCCCACCCCGCCGGCCTTGGCTTCCCCTCTGAGCCGGCGCTCCCGCCGGCAGTCTCCACCGCTCTCCACCATACTTCATCTCTCTTCACCGCACTCCTCCGCTCCCCACCGCACTCCATCATACTCCACCGCTCTCCACTGCCCTCCTCTGCTTTCTCTCCTCCCCTTGTCAGCGGCAGTCAGCTGCTGCAGCCGTGGTGATGGCGGACTCTCTGCTCCGCCTGGACGCAAAGGGTCGGGCCGTTGAGTTTGAGGCGTGGCTCATCGACCTCCGCCACCAGTTGACCGGGCAGCGCCAGGACGGCCATTCCCTGGCCGTCCATGTCGATGGTAAGCTCCCTCGCCCAGCCCCGCCTGCTGCCCTCCCTGAAGCCCCCACATCTGCTGAGCGTGAGGCTTTTGTCGCTGCTGAGCTTGCCTGCGCTGTCTGGGATTCGCGTGACACCGTTGCCCAACTTGCCATTAGTCACGCCCTCCCCCTGTCTGAGCGTCCCCGCTTTACCGCTGTCTCAAACGCCACGGAATACCTAGATGCCGTCATTGCGCGCTATTCCACCCCCGCCTCAGCCTCTGCCGGCCGCCTGATCTTCCCCATGCTATTCCCTGACCTTGCGTCCTTCCCTACTGACGCTGACCTTGCCACCCACCTCTGCGCAGTGGAGACTAGCTACCGCGCCGCTAGCACCGAGGCACAGCTCATTGCCTTCCTGCCGCCGCTGTGCACTACACTTTACCTCATTGCCACGTGCTTGCCAGACCGCCTAGCCATTGCCCGCAACCACTTCCATAGTCAGCACCCAGGTGATTTCACCCTCACTACCTTTGTCACCGCCCTGTCCGCGATAGAGACCCGCCAGCGCACTATCGCTCAGTCTAGCGGTACTGCACTGGTCCCTATCTTCCAGGGCTGTGCTCCCTCCCAGAAACTTACTCTAACGTTTCTGCCGCTATCGCTGTCACAACCCCTGCTGCTCACACTGCCGCTGCGGCCTTAGTGCAGTAGCGTCCGGGTAAGGGCCGCCGCCCCAAAGGGGGGCGTGGCGGAAGGAAGGGTGGTGGGGTTGGTAGAGGTGGGGGCGGGGACGGTGGTGCAGACGAGGGGACTGGGGCTGGTGCCCCGGAGCAGCAGCAGCCTCAGCAGCAGCAACAGCAGCCACCTCAGCAGCAGCCTCAGCAGCAGCAGCCGTTATTGGGACCCCCGCCGCCGTGGTGGCCTGGTGGCGCTGCTGGTGGTGGTCGTGGTGGTGCGCCGTGCAGCTCGGTGTCGGGTGGCAGCTCCAGTGTGGTCACCTGCCAGTACCAGCTTAAGGCCGGACCCCTCCGTGGCACCGTCTGCGACCGTCCCGGTCACACTGCCGCCCACTGCTACCGCCGACTCGACGACCTCTTCCGTCTCTGCTTTGGTCCCACGTCGGACCCTCCGGACAAGTACGCCTTTGGCGCGCCGTCGTGTGCCTGTCTTTGAGCTTGACATGGATCAGATTAGGTGTGCCATGTATGTCCTGTATGCTGATGACTCTAGTCTGACTGGACCCTATAACCTGGTGTTGCCTAGTGTAGGTGTCTAGTTTCCCCTGCTGCATCAAGCATAGGACGACCGGCATTGTTTAGCCTCGGCTCTACGCTAGCTCCTCCGCCTGCGGCCGCTACTGCCGTGCTCTCGTTCACGCTAGACTCCGGTGCGTTTGCCTGCTTCTTTCACAACCACCCTTTGCTTATGCCGCTTGCCACCCCTATAGCTGTAGCACTTGCTAACCCCTCCTCAGGTTCGATAGTTGCCCGTAGCTCCACTACCCTTCCCTGCCCGGCGGTTTCCTCGGACTCTCTTACAGGCTTCCACATCCCCTCGTTCTCTAGGAACCTAGTTGGTGTTGGCTGTCTTCAGGATCTCGGCGTCACCACTACGTTCCCTGGAAACGAGCAGTACGCAGTCTGTACCGAGGCCTCCACTGGTGCGCCTCTCACCACGTTCCCCCATGACCCCGTGTCTAGCTTGTTCACGCTGGACACCACGTCCCCCCCGGTCGGAGCGTCCCCCCAGGTAGCTGCAGCCTGCTCATGTTGGTCGCTCACCCACCCTTCGATGCCGTGGCACCACCGACTAGGTCACCCCGCACTCCCGCTTCTGCGTCACATATCCCGTCACGGGCTTGTCTTTGGTCTCCCTGCATCGCTCCCTGCCCTCCCTCCCTTGCCTGCACCGCCGTGCACGCCCTGCGTCGAAGGCCAGCTCCACCGTGCTCCTCACTCTTCCTCGTTTCCCCCTACCACTACGTCACTCCAGACCCTGCATCTGGACGTTTGGGGCCCAACCCCCGTCCCTGGGCCGCATCGAGAGCGCTACTATCTAGTGCTTGTCGACGACTACACGCGCTACACCATGGTGTTTCCCCTGGTGCAGAAGGCTGACGTGCCCGACGTTCTTATCCCGTGGGTCGTAGCTGTACAATCCACCACGGCCTCCCTAAACTGCGTCTTCACTCCGACCGCAGCGACGAATTCGCCTCCGGTCGGCTTGGCCAGTTCTGTCGTGTAGAGGGCATCACCTAGTCGTACACCCTACCGGACTCCCTGCAGCCAAAGGGGGTTGCTGAGCGACGCATCAGTTTGGTCATGGAGGTCGCTCGTAACTCCATGATCCATGCTGTTGCACCCCATTTTTTGTGGCCGTTCGCGGTTCGCTACGCCGCTCACCAACTTAAGCTATGGCAACGCTCCCAGTGGCCGCAGGTTTCGCCGACCCTTCTCTGGATCGGGTTCCCTGGTGTCTGCATTCCACATCTGGGGCTGCCTTGCTCACGTTCGTGCCTCTGGCACAGACAAGCTCACTGCCTGCACCGTCCCTTGTGTCTTCCTTGGTTTCCCCCTCGACGCGTCTGACTAGCATTTTTACCACCCGCCTTCTCACCACTTCTTTCACTCTCGTGACGTCCAGTTTGACGAGTCTGTCTTCTTCTACACCCGCTTTCCCCACCAAGGTCTCCCAGCTACCCCACCCCTGTTCCTGGTCCCCACTCTCCCGGTAGCCCCTGCTCCTCTTCCTCCCCGTCCTACCCTGTCTGGTGTGTCTCACGTCACTCCCCTCCCCTTGGTTGTCCCGGTGGAGGAGTCGAATGACTCCGGGGGCCCAGCGGCTTCGGTTTCGCCACCTGTCTCCACCCCAGTGTCTCCTCCTCCGCAGTTGCAGCAGCCACCATCGCCGCCGCCGCCGCAGCAGCAGTCGTCGTCGTCGTCGCTACAGCCGCAGCTGCCATAGCCTCCGCCGCAGCAGCAGCCGCCGCAGGGGTCCGCGAGCTGTGGAGGTGCGGGCGTTGAGGAGGGTGCTAGTCCTGAGGGTACTGTCGTGGCTTGTCCCAGTGGTCTTGGGGGTGGCACCGGTGCTAGAGAGGGATCTCGTTCTAGGGATGCTGTCGTGGAGCATCCCGGAGGTAGCCGTGGTGCAGCTGGAGGTTGTGGTGGTGTAGAGCAGCAGCTGCAGCAGTCGCCGCCGGTGTCTGCCCTTCGCCTCCTCGGTCTTCCCTCCCCTGGCCGTTTCCCTGGGCCTCCCTTGCCTATCAACGGTCCTGTTTTTCCTCCGCCGGACTCGTCTCCGGCTCGTTTTCCCCTGTGTTCTCCTTCTGTGTTTCTTGACACCAGGCCTTTGTCCCAGTTATGGTTTCACCGTCCCTCTCGTGCTCGTCCTGTCTCTCCTGTCCAGCAATCTCATCCTATGTTGCTTCGTTCCCACGCATCTCGTCCTCCCCTCCTTCCGTCGCCTCCTACGTCCTCGCTGGTTGTCGCTCCGCCCCCCCTGTC